TCCTTGAAATATGGTCTCGTCTTTTTTAAGGCTGATACAATTGAATTTTTGGAGCATTTTCGAAAATTTTCCCCCTTGAAAATGGCCTACTCCTGAACGGTCTGAAGATGTATAACTTATCGATCGAATTCTCAATTTTGGCCCATTTACCATAGAATGACCCATGAATCATGGATTATGCGACTGATAAGCTCGGTGAAATAGGTAACGATTCCGTCTGAGTCATCGAAAACTTGGCACACCACCTTTCCGCTCAAGCCCCTTATCGCGTTTTTTGGGTTCAGACGAACAACACCATTCTTGCCTGCATTGTCTCGTTTTCGATTTTTCTCGTTTCTTGAGCTGCAAAACAAAATTTACCTTGATTTTAGCGAAAATGGAATTTCCGGTTTGGCTGTGGCGCCCTAATGTGCAACCAGAATCACCGGTGAAGGCGGGCGACTATAAGTGTTGCTATTTTTGCGGTTGCTCATCAAAGGTAAGCGTTTCTCGCTTTATAAGCTTTGTAATGGATTCGTTTATTTCTATCTTCCGACGTTTAGTGCTGGTTCACGCTATGCACGGCGATCTGGATCCTCGCTTCTATCATTTTCATTGCTTCCGCCATTTTTGTCTTCCTCGTCCGACCCGATGTCACGGTGATTGCCCTAAGACAACCAGGGGTATGTTAAAAATCTATCGGTAAAATTCAAGATTTTGTATTAAGCTTTACCTTCGTTTGGCAGTCATTGTCTTGGGCTTCCTTGCCGTCCGAGCCATTATGACAAAGAAACCCGGCTACATGCAGGCCTTTATCATCGTTTTTGTAAGTTATTCGACCGTTTTTGAGTCCTCTAAACTCCCTGAAATTGTCCTATTTTTCAGGCTTCCCTCCAAGCTTTGACACTTCTTGCAGAAATCTTTTTTGGGCATCACCGTGATCAGTATGCCAAAGCATTTTTGCGAAAATCCGAACTCCAGGGTCCACCACCATCTCAACTCTCACTTCCGTGGCTACGGACATCACCACCGTCACGATGACTACATAGGCTACAACAATCAGGGAATGGGCTACGACGATCATGGCAGGGGATACAACTATGAGGGCCGAGGGTATCGCGATGATACCGTGGGATACAACGATGATGCCATGGGGTACCGCAATGATCACATCGGCATGTGGGGTACGTACAACATTGTATGATATATAACTTTTTAGTTTCAGATGTTTGGACTTTTTTGGACTTTTTAGAGATCACCGAACGAATTCCGGGGCTGATTATTGGCGCAATAGTGGCAATCTGGATGAACGTTGTCGTCTATATGTACTACTGCTATATCAGGCATGGGGTTTAACGTTTAGTGTAGAGTGTCCAGAACCACAAAACTTATGTAAATTACCAGTGCTTTTTAAAAACTCCCGCGTGATCGTCCGCTCCGACATCGCATTTTTTAGGGATCGCCAGCTCGAGGTCGAACAGCAAGAGTATCCACCAAGCCATCGTCAAGCCTGCATAGTTTGATCCTCGCAACGAAAATCCATCGCGAAACGATACTCTTTCAAATGAAATCTCTAAGATTTTTTTAGTCACATTTCCATGTATACCGTATCCATCAGCCTTATAAGCATATTGTGGTCCTCAGGAACATATCTAATTTAATAAAGAACCTTACCTTATGATTTTTTGTTGCTCTAGGCTTTTTTATGCGATGTACACCTCGACGAACCAAGCATAGGCCTCGAAATGGCCTTTCGGCGAACCGGGAAATGGACCACAAGCGTCCGAATGCCAGCAATCTACCCGTTCCCCCATTCGGCGTCCTCTCTCTCTCTCTCTCTCTCTCTCTCTGTCTCTCATTTTTGGACATTTTTGGAGGACTACTGGAGAATTTTCGCGACGGAATTTATTCAATCAAGGACGGTTTTACCCCCCAGCCTTTCGATTTCGCTCCGATTCATGACCACATCGCAACCGGTTTCCAAATTTTTTTTACCGGAATACCAGTAACCTTGCTAATCGGATGGAATTTTAGCTTTACAAGAGCTGCTAAAAAAATTCTGATTTTCGAACAAAACAGTGAAGGTTTTCTCAAGTTTCTCCGAAGCCGGGCACTTCTTATTGCGGCAGTTCGACTTCAGAGAGTCCGACTTCAGGGAGGACGCATTCAGGGAGGAGAAGCTCTTGGATCGCACCAGTTAACAAAACCCAGGCTGTTTTCTAGCTTTTTCTGTCCCCTCCAAGTACAGCGCATCGATCCCCGGCTCCTCTTCTTGAAACCTGCTCCAAAAAAACGGCCAGGAGCAAACAGCGAGTCCCACCCTTTTTGGCATCCAAAAGTTGCCATTGCCCTCGTTTCGCAGTTTCTGCAAGGCTCCCACTTTCTTGAGCTTTGGCCTAGTAAAATTGGCCGCTTTTTTGAACGAATTCTCATGAAAACGGGTCTCGATGGTTGATGGATGCTAGGCCCATAAAAAGCGGCCCTCTGCTTATTGGGGATCGAAAAGAGGAACGGATGAATAGATGGCATTGGCCCAACGCGCGAATCCCTGCTCTTTGAGATGGCACAAATCCCTTTCGAATTTCTTACTTCTTGTCAACTTGTTGTAACACATACTTTAAGGATGGGATTCCCCGTTTGGCTATGGCGTCCTAAAGTTCAGCCGAAATCGCCGGTGGAGCCAGGAAATTATCTTTGTTGCGGATGTTGCTGCTGTACCGCGAAGGTAGGTTTTGAGGCAGAGAATTCAGTGAAAGAGAGAGAGACAGGGAGCTATTGAGAAAAATATTCTTCCTTTTTAATGCTGCTTCACCTTTGACACGATCATCTGGGTGATCTCCGCGGCCTTGTTTTGTCTCATCGTTGGAATCTCGCTCATCATTAAGCCCCTACTCATATGGCGCTATCTCCAGAATGCACAGGTTAGCCGAAGAAACCATAGCGCCAAATTAACCTACCCGTTTTTTTTTTGGTAAATTGTCATTTACAGTTTTTCATATGGGGTGCCACCGTGTTATACGCATGGCTGGGAATTCGCACCATCCAAACGAAGCAGCCTGCCTATCTGCAGTTGCTGATGGTCGTTTCGTAAGGGTTCGTGCCTTGCCTGAGTGCTAACATGGGAGCTGTTTTTGACCCAGGTTGCAAATCGCCATATAACATATATAAATCGATAAAGAATGGAAAATAAAAATGATGTTTAGATATTAGTTTTTGCCGAACTCCTCTCTTTAAAAAGTTACTAGGTGAGACCACGTGGGTCAAAAACACTTCGCTTGTCAGTATTTGGTTATCGATAATCGACAAATCGCGGGATTTCGCGGAAGTACTAATTTGGCTAATATTTTGTTGACACGACCTCTTGAAAAATAATTTAGCTAATATTTTTAGTTTGGCAGCGAAATACTCGGCCTGATTGCCAATTTGGTCTGCTGGGATCATCACATGGAATCGTAACAATTTTTCCAAGACGCCTAACGGTGATTTCAGCATGAACAGTCATCTCTCCGAATTCCGCAGCAAAAAGCAGAACTTAAGCCAGGGGTCGATATCGATGGTAATCAACGCATATGCCCGCTTGTAGCTCTGATTTCTAGAGCTCATTTCCATCGTGCTAGGCGGCCTTATCATGCTCTGGGCCGACCTCGTCATCTTCCAGTTCTATCGATACATCAGGTAATTTGGAAATTGAAGGAGCTGCTTAAAAAACTTTTTTTAATCCTTAAATCAAAAAATAATTCTGAGATTTTTTTAGAGATCGACAGATCGCAGAGGAGCAAAGCGGCCAGCTGCCCCTCCATAATCAACCACCGCTGAAAGCTTGAAGCCCCCCAAGAAGCCTCATCAAAACAACGACAAAAATCACAAGCTTATCTGCCTACTGTATGCCTTATATTTTGACTGTCCTTATATCGCTAATTTTGTTTTGCCTGCCCCCGGTTGTGATTTTTATCCGTTCTTACGCCGCTTATTTCCAAGTGCAAATAAAACGCTGTTTGGAAAAATGTAGCAATGCCACCACCGGCCTACTAACGTCGTGTATGACGTAGGCATGTTTCTGGTTTCTTCTTTAGAGTGACCAACTGGCTGAGATGCGGCTTCTTAAAATAGACCCCGGGGGTTTCCGGGGGCCAGGCCAAAAATCCACGAGAAAGGGGTGCGGTTGGGCCAAGGCCCGCCAGCCCCTTTCTTCCCCTCCCTTTCCATCTCCATCACTCTCTCTCTCTCTCTCTCTCTCTCTCTCTCTGTCTCGCCATCCCTCTTGCTTTCCATCCCTTTCTCACCCTGCACCCTCCCTAGCCTCTTCTCCTAGATGCGCATAGTGAGCAGCTCCGCGTGCTTCAGCGCCTCAAATCTGGTTTGGAAATGTTTTAAACTTAAACTGTTAAAACTGTTTTAATTGCTCGTATCTAATCCTGATCCAGGTAACCATGGGCTTTCCGATTTGGCTTTGGCATCCCGAGCATCAGCCCCGGACCCCAGTCGAGCCAAATGGGTATCTCTGCTGTGGATGTTGCGGCTGCACCTCAAAAGTAAGAAATTTAATCGTTTTTTTCTGAAATTCAATCAAACAGTGTTGCTTCACGATTTATACGGTCATCTGGGCCCTGATCTGCTTCATTTTCTTTGGCCTTGTCGGTCTGCTGCTCCTTCTGCAACCCGATTACATCCTTGTTTTGCTAAAACATCCAGGGGTAGGTTTTTAAAGGTTCAAACTTTTGAAAATTTTGATAAAAATCGTATTAAATTCAGTTTTACCTCTGGCTTGTTACTGCTCTTTTTGTGTTCTATGCCGTGCGGGCGATACAGACGTTGACACCAAGCTACATGCAAGCGTTCATGATAGTTTTTGTGAGTTTTTGCGAGTATCGAGGCTTATTTGACGGACATTTTAGTACAAAAAATTTCTATATTTTTAGTTCATCCTGGAAATCATTGGCTTCATTTTAAGCTGGATTTTTTGGAAAGAACTCCAAGCGTAAGAATTTGATCATCTTAAATTTTCTGCCACCCTTTTTAGAATGAATCGCCGTCTTATGGAGTACAGCTCAAGAAAGGGCGGACATCTGCAGGAAATAGGGCGGGATTGTAAGCAAAGAGCGGTTACGGTTAAATTCGGTCCATTCAGCTAGCGCTTCCTCAATGTTCCCTTCAATGCTATTTACGCTTTGGATGGACTTTGTGGTGATCCAGTACTATCGCTACGTCAGGTAATATACTTTTCGAATAGCTGAGCGCAATGCGCTACTTCTAGATCCCACTATTGATTTTTCAGGGATCGTCAGCTGGAGATTGAACAAAGCGAGCAGCTACCGCTCTACAGCCAAATGATGAAAACCTAACTTTCAAATCGATTTCAAAACTGAATTTTTTTTGCACATATTATTTGAGAAGTCCGATCATTACTTAATTCACGCGTGAGACATCTTGCCTGGACAGTATAGATACTTTCGATATGATCTCTCGATTCTGATAAATTATAACTTTTTTTTGCAAATCCCCCAACTCAAAAAACCATAAACCTGCATAAAACATAGAAAACGATAAAAATAAAATCCAAGCCATTTTGTACCGAAACACATTACGAAGTAATATACCGCCATCCGGAAATCTCTCTGACACTCGCTCCCCTTTCTCCTCGCGCACATTTTTGGTGCCCTCATCCTGGGCCGTCCATCCCGAACCGCCGACCCACAATCACCATATCTTTTTAATCGATTCGATTGCCATGGGTTTCCCGATTTGGCTTTGGCGCCCAAACCATCACCCAAAAGCTGCCGTGGAACCAAATGGCTATCTATGCTGTGGATGTTGTGGCTGTACTTCAAAGGTATTCTTGTGTACAAATACTCAGCTACAAAAGTGTAAAACCTAAATCTAAATTCCAGTGCTGGTTCACCTTTTACGCCGTCATATGGGCGTTGCTCTGCTTGCAGTTCGTTGGCCTGATTGGTCTCCTTTTCTTCAAACAGCCAGAAGTCATATTTGTCCTGCTAAAAGAACCAGGTGTCAGTTTTTTTTTATCGAACGTTCTTTAGTTGATAATATCTACAGCACAGGAGATGAACAAAAACCAAGAAAACCAAAAAAATAAACAATTTAGACTTACGTATGGCTTGCCAACGGTCTCCTCGCAGCCTTTGCCGTTCTTACAATTCGTACCAAAAAACCCAGCTACATGCAAGCGTTTATGATCGTTTTCGTGAGTGTTCAAGCTAGTTAAAATTTATATTAGTGAAAAGAGTGGAAAAAATTTAGTTCGCCATCCAAATCCTCGGCTTCATTTCCAGTTGGATCTTTTGGAAACAGATGCAATGGTGGGTATTTTTGCAAAACTGAACCCACATTTTTTAGGATAAATGAGCGCTACAATGAATACAGGAGAGCCCAGGGATTAGAGCACAAAGATATGATGCTGAGTTGTAAGTGTCAGAGCAGATGATTTCAAATTCAACGAGCTTCAGCTAGCATCCCCTTCTATGTGTCATTTCTTTTCATGTTCTGGATGAATTTTGTGGTCTTTCAATATTATCGTTATGTCAGGTACTAGCATAACAATTTATATGACAAATATCTGCCGTTTTTTAGAGATCGTCAGCTGGTAATTGAGCAATGCCGGCAGCGACTACCTATTTACAGGCAACCGCTGAAGGCCTAGCGCCAAGATACTTTCTAGGGCGAAAACGGGATTTGGAAATCTCGTTTTGCAAAAAAGCTGATAATTTTTGTGTTTTGTCTTGGTGATCTGTGTTTATCTTGGTACTTAACGAAATTAAATAGATTTGGACTGTTACAAATTTTACGCGTCTACGGAATACGGAGCTTAAAAAACCAACGTGTCATTTTAAGATAGCCCGGAACCATATGGTCCCCTTTCCAAGCTACTGCCCTGGCCAGGTGCCCGAAAACCCGGAACAGACTTTCCTCGCCTTGCCCTGTTCCTGCTTCCTCTCCAGCTTCTTGCCCTCATCTATCTCTACCTCACTCTCTCCTCTCGATCGCTGGCTGTTCCTGCTTGTAAATAAAAATCGGTCCAACTCCCGATCCCGAGCAACAAGCCCTTACCTCGAGCCCAAACGTTAGGACACATCCCATCCTCTGGCGAGTTAAAGATCATTAGATTTTCGTAAGAAAATGGCCTTCCTTTGTTTAGTCTTTAAATTTCGTGTCCCTCTCTCTGTCGCTCTCTGTCGCCCTATCTCACTCACTCTCTCACTCTCTCTCGCTCTCTCTCGCTCTCTCGTCCTTGGAAGATGAGAACTTGGATCACCGTGTTATCAATGGACCTCAAGGATAACAGTTAGTCAGCAAAGAGTTTTTTAAAATAGTGACTTTCCTATCATAAAGCGTTAGTGACCAAGTGGCAATCATGTTTACAAATCTTGCGCCAACAATTCTCATTTAGATAGTTTCCAAAATATTAGGAACAGCAATGGTACCGGGAAGCCCGCCAGATTTTGTTGTTATACCGTTGTTATTAAATAGGCGGCGAAACGTAGTTTTTCTTGTAAACAACACGGACAGCATTGCAATAAATATCTCTCAACCATTTTCATTACCCCTGCCTTGCCTGGGGCAACACATGGCAGCTGGGTGAGCCAAAACCGGCTCGACGATCCCCTCTCTTCATATCCCCTTCCCCCTTCCACCACAGACGTGCTTTCGTGGTGTAATGGTCAGCATGGATGCCTTCCAAGCATTCGACGGGGGTTCGATTCCCCCCCGAACGCAAATCTTTTTGCTTTTTGGAAGTTTTGTCTGAATCGTAGCTGGAATTTTAATGGTTGGAGTCGTTTTCTTTAGCCCTGTGAAGTGAATGGGTTTTTACGGATGGGTTACGATATTATGATGCAATGCAATGAAGTAATGATATTAAAAAACATTTATTAGTTCTGTACTCGTGACATAATTACAAACAGGTTATATGAAGGTGATTGAAGGCTCATTTGCGGCCAAGAATTCCTCCAAGGAGTCCACCACTTCCTCCTTGTCCTCCTCCAAGAAGTCCGCCCAGTAGACCGCCATTTCCACCAGTCAAACCACCAGTCAATCCACCGAGAAGACCCGAATCTCCACCAAGAAGGCCACCCAGAAGTCCGCTATCGTTGTCGAGAACGGATCCGAGAAGTCCACCGACCAATTTGAGACGAAGAATCTCTTGAAGAAGACCATCAACAACTCCTGGGGCTCCAGATGGACCACCAATCAGACCTGAAAATAGCATATTAGAAAGTTTAGAATGTATTTAGATACCATCAAGAAGAGGATTTCCATTGGCACCAAGAAGATGTCCGAGAAGACCTCCATTTCCAGCCAGCCAAGTATCAAGACTGTAATAGGGATACGGTAATTAGGTCATTAAATAGAAAACTGACGTTGGGAGAATATCAAAGACATCACAGAGAAGATCAGAGATCTGGCCAAGAAGTCCTTGATTGACCTTGTCGAGGATGGGTTCGGCTGTTTGAAGGATTTGAAGGCAAAGATTCGTGAAAAGGGCACTCTTTCCAGCCAGAACACCTAGAAGAAGATGGATTGATGGTAGATGATCATACCAGAGACGAGATATTCCACATCAGCATTTAGGACAAGTCCACAAGGTCCATTCGGGACGATGAGAAGGGATGGAATCTCGAGAGTTCCCTTCAGAATATCCAAATGTTCCAGAGTGTAGGCATCAACGGTCTCTCCGTCGATAGTAGTCGTCGTCTTGTTCAAGATGCGCAGCTTCGAGACTAAAGGATGGTGGGTTTAGTATCTTAAAAAGTACGACTCACTCCAATCAACGGCACAAGCCAATGCTTTGATGTCTCCAATCGGGTTGGGGCATTGACGACAATCAGAAGTGGCTTGTTCGGCTGATCCGAGACTCAGTTGGGCTACGGTAGCCGAGGCAAGAAGGCACAGAGTTGCGATGCGGACGGCGTGCGCCATCTTTCTATACTCGTATGAATAAGTGTACTGGGGCTAACCTACGAAACTTAGAAGATTAGAAGAGGAGCTTGAAGCTGATGCTGACCATTGGAGATTCGTGGCTTTTATAGCCAACGGGAACAATCGGTTCGGATTTTTCCGAAAACAGCCCAGACCTTTCTAACTCTAGGCCGCAATTCCATCACCATGTGCCCGATCAAAATTAGAAACTTGTATCAAAAGCTCGACTTTTGGAAAACAAGTTCCATCCACCCGTTCGAAAATACCCACTGTTCGGCTGACCCCAACGAAAAGCTCAGCGGGACGTCCAAAAATATGTTAGCCCCAGGTCCAGCCAGACAAGCTGCTTATGTTTTCGTGGAGATCGGCGGGGTCGAAAATACGCCATTGTTAATGGAACATTGGAGATGAATTTTTACACAAGCGAAGTGTGTATAAAAGGGTTCGGCTTCGAACCATTGGCATCAGCTTCAAGCTCTTCATCTACTTTCTTACTTCGAAATGGCGCACGCCGTCCGCATCGCAACTCTGTGCCTTCTTGCCTCGGCTACCGTAGCCCAACTGAGTCTCGGATCAGCCGAACAAGCCACTTCTGATTGTCGTCAATGCCCCAACCCGATTGGAGACATCAAAGCATTGGCTTGTGCCGTTGATTGGAGTGAGTCGTACTTTTTAAGATACTAAACCCACCATCCTTTAGTCTCGAAGCTGCGCATCTTGAACAAGACGACGACTACTATCGACGGAGAGACCGTTGATGCCTACACTCTGGAACATTTGGATATTCTGAAGGGAACTCTCGAGATTCCATCCCTTCTCATCGTCCCGAATGGACCTTGTGGACTTGTCCTAAATGCTGATGTGGAATATCTCGTCTCTGGTATGATCATCTACCATCAATCCATCTTCTTCTAGGTGTTCTGGCTGGAAAGAGTGCCCTTTTCACGAATCTTTGCCTTCAAATCCTTCAAACAGCCGAACCCATCCTCGACAAGGTCAATCAAGGACTTCTTGGCCAGATCTCTGATCTTCTCTGTGATGTCTTTGATATTCTCCCAACGTCAGTTTTCTATTTAATGACCTAATTACCGTATCCCTATTACAGTCTTGATACTTGGCTGGCTGGAAATGGAGGTCTTCTCGGACATCTTCTTGGTGCCAATGGAAATCCTCTTCTTGATGGTATCTAAATACATTCTAAACTTTCTAATATGCTATTTTCAGGTCTGATTGGTGGTCCATCTGGAGCCCCAGGAGTTGTTGATGGTCTTCTTCAAGAGATTCTTCGTCTCAAATTGGTCGGTGGACTTCTCGGATCCGTTCTCGACAACGATAGCGGACTTCTGGGTGCCCTTCTTGGTGGAGATTCGGGACTTCTCGGTGGATTGACTGGTGGTTTGACTGGTGGAAATGGCGGTCTACTGGGCGGACTTCTTGGAGGAGGACAAGGAGGAAGTGGTGGACTCCTTGGAGGAATTCTTGGCCGCAAATGAGCCTTCAATCACCTTCATATAACCTGTTTGTAATTATGTCACGAATTCTAATAAATGATCTTTTACTATAGTTTCTTCACCGCACTGAATTATAATATGGTATCCGGACCACGAAAACTATGTTTCACAAGTTCTTTATTTTCTATATCGCGAGACCTATACCTAGGCACGAGTGACGAGATAGTGGCGGGTTCAGGCTAAAAACAACATCCAATTTGGTTCTTGGCTTAGTGCCCAGTGCAGTGCATCGATTCCGGGCTCTTCTTCTCTCCGTGAACCCCCGCCAAAAGGGTCATCGGGCCACGGCAAGCCCCTTTCTAGCCTTGGGTTGCCCTTTCGTAATGTGTTGTGGTGCACACTAAGTTGCCTATTTGGTCCAAATTTATTTTTGAATCGGATTCGTTTCTCTCAACCGCTAAAATATTCAAAATTCACCATCTACATTCGCGATCGAATTGCTAGGTTTTAAAATGTAATCTTAGGGAATATGGGTTTCCCAATGTGGCTTTGGCGCCCTAAAGTGCAACCGCAACTCCCGGTCGCTCCGAACAATTATCTTTGCTTTGGATGTTGCGGATGCAAAGTTACGGTGAGTCGATTCAATGTTTTCTTATTTCATGAAAAGCCGTCATGCCAGCATAATCGCATTCCAAAGATACACTTAGATTTTAGGCGATCGCTTCACTCATCTCTGGTTTTTACAAATGCCTCTCACTGCAATTCATCAAGCAAATGAAGCCAAGCTACTTGCAATTATTTATGATAATATTTGTAAGTTCCATTGCCACGGAATACCCTTCCGCTAGCAAAGACGCAAAAAAAATCTGGTTACGTTTAGTTTACCAGCCAAATAGTCGGTTCCGGCGTTTGTTGGGCTCTCCAATACCATATGATCAACATGTAAGATGATTTAAGCCTTTTAATTCTAGAATTTAGTGAAAATACGAATGGGTCTCATGGTCAACGACAAAAGCATGACATTAGGAAATCTCGTGAGAAAATGAGTTTGCCTTCTTTACGACGTGTTTAGTACTATTGCCTTCCCTGCTCATTTCTACCCTATTTATGTTCTGGATAGACTTTATGATCTTTCAGTATTATCGATTTCTCAGGTAAGGCCAGGCTTTTATTTTTCCTACTTATAAACGGGCGGTCTTCCCATTTGAACCCCTTTCATTTTTTAGGGACCGGCAGCTGGAAACTGAACAGAATTCGCTACCCACGCTGAACCAGCCATTGGACGCGGCAGGGATAGATGTGATCAAAGAAATTCGATCTTAAACTGTCCTAATAAACCTATTTGATAACACCCAATTGAGCTTTCCTGTTTGAAAATTAGCTTTTCCCTCTACCGGTCTCCATTTTGAATTCGATCGATCGGCCAATTATACGCAAATTCGTTCTGGCCTAAAAATGACGAAGTTATCATGAGTTATGTTGGCAGTCCACACGTCGAAACGCTTCTAGCCGTTGAATCATATTGGCGGGGCGGCACTTTCGAATCGGTGGTATTTTGTCTCGGCAAATGACAATCCTTCTCGTGTTCGGCAAGAAAATACAACAAAACTTTCTTTAAATTCTCTGCCCATTCCTTGCTTCTCCTTATTTATTGGCAATGGATTTCACAGGCCTCAGTTCCAGCATGAAAGGTTGGAGACAATTTATTAAAATCTTTAAATATATGACAGCCACAACCAACAGTTTCTTCAGAAAACCCCCGCAAACGGCCGCACCAGGAATCGTCCGCCAATCTGGATCCGACCATATTCGATCGATTCCAAGCCTTACCATGGGAGGTCAAAAATGAAATCCTCTCAAATCTGGGGCCCTTGGAATTTGTCGTCTTCGCCCTGGCCCACAAGGAATTCAAGGGCTTGGTCGATCGTTTTCCCAAACAATGGGATCGTTTCGGAGTCTCTAGAGAAAATGCGCTCATAATATATTCGCGCACAACGGGCGGTCGGATGCAGCGTACTGTCCTCGAATTCATGTATGTGCTTCGATAAGTAACGTAAATGTCAAAATTAGGGCCGGTGCTATGTGTGAAGGGCCGAGGCACGGTGTCCAGCAATGGGCTGTGTTTGCCCAAAGGGACTGCTGGAAAATCCGGCACATACTTTTGCAAAACGCAAAGATAAGAGTGGTAGTTCCTGAAATGATCCTTCAACCATTTCAACCTTTAGTTTGATTCCCCGGGGCAGTCACGGTTGTGGCTGCGGCGGCTTACCCCCGAAAAATCTGCAAATCGAAATATGAGCCTTTCCCCGTCGATTCCCGCGCCGATTTGCCTGCTGGAAGAATTAATGCGTAAGTGACTGACCACAAAATTCAGATCGCGATTGTTTCAGGGTTGTTCAACTTGAAAGGGCTCCGTGTGCCATATTCGCCCGAGAACCCAAAAGATTATCAAGTTATGGATTTTTTTCAGGACCATCCGGTGCGACAGTGTATTTAAAATTTTAACTAACCAAGGCGTAAAAAGTTGCTGCTTTTAGGAGATCACTACGGCCGAATATTACTTGTGCGAGAAAGAATACATAAAATATATGAGATGCGTGAAGCAGCCCCGGCAAATTGTTAGCATCCGGGCTTATAATTATGCATCATAATGCAATGCAGTGAAGTAATGATATTAAAAAAACATTTATTAGATCTGTACTCGTGACATAATTACAAACAGGTGATATGAAGGTGATTGAAGGCTCATTTGCGGCCAAGAATTCCTCCAAGGAGTCCACCACTTCCTCCTTGTCCTCCTCCCAGAAGTCCGCCCAGTAGACCACCATTTCCACCAGTCAAACCACCAGTCAATCCACCGAGAAGTCCCGAATCTCCACCAAGAAGGCCACCCAGAAGTCCGCTATCGTTGTCGAGAACGGATCCGAGAAGTCCACCGACCAATTTTCCATTCAGAATTTGCAGTAGAAGACCATCAACAACACCAGGGGCACCAGATGGACCACCAATCAGACCTGAAAATAGAATATTAGAAGGTTTAGAATGTATTTAGATACCATCAAGAAGAGGATTTCCATTGGCACCAAGAAGATGTCCGAGAAGACCTCCATTTCCAGCCAGCCAAGTATGAAGACTGTAATAGGGATACGGTAATTAGGTCATTAAATAGAAAACTGACGTTGGGAGAATATCAAAGACATCACAGAGAAGATCAGAGATCTGGCCAAGAAGTCCTTGATTGACCTTGTCGAGGATGGGTTCGGCTGTTTGAAGGATTTGAAGGCAAAGATTCGTGAAAAGGGCACTCTTTCCAGCCAGAACACCTAGAAGAAGATGGATTGTTGGTAGATGATCATACCAGAGACAAGATATTCCACATCAGCATTCAGGACAAGTCCACAAGGTCCATTCGGGACGATGAGAAGGGATGGAATCTCGAGAGTTCCCTTCAGAATATCCAAATGTTCCAGAGTGTAGGCATCAACGGTCTCTCCGTCGATAGTCGTCGTCGTCTTGTTCAAGATGCGCAGCTTCGAGACTAAAGAATGGTGGGTTTAGTATCTTAAAAAGTACGACTCACTCCAATCAACGGCACAAGCCAATGCTTTGATGTCTCCAATCGGATTGGGGCATTGACGACAATCAGAAGTGGCTTGTTCGGCTGATCCGAGACCCAGTTGGGCTACGGTAGCCGAGGCAAGAAGGCACAGAGTTGCGATGCGGACGGCGTGCGCCATTTCGAAGTAAGAAAGTAGATGAAGAGCTTGAAGCTGATGCCAATGGTTCGAAGCCGAACCCTTTTATACACACTTCGCTTGTCTAAAAATTCATCTCGAATGTTCCATTAACAATGGCGTATTTTCGACCCTGCCGATCTCCACGAAAACATAAGCAACTTGTCTGGCTGGACCTGGGGCTAACATATTTTTGGACGTCCCGCTGAGCTTTTCGTTGGGGTCAGCCGAACAGTGGGTATTTTCGAACGGGTGGATGGAACTTGTTTTCCAAAGTCGAGCTTTTGATACAAGTTTCTAATTTTGATCGGGGACATGTTGCTGGGGATTGCGGCCGAGAGTTAGAAAGGTCTGGGCTGTTTTCGGAAAAATCCGAACAGATTGTTCCCGTTGGCTATAAAAGCCACGAATCTCCAATGGTCAGCATCAGCTTCAAGCTCCTCATCTAATCTTCTAAGTTTCGTAAATTAGCCCCAGTACACTGATTCATACCAGTATAGAAAGATGGCCCACGCCGTCCGCATCGCAACTCTGTGCCTTCTTGCCTCGGCTACCGTAGCCCAACTGGATCTCGGATCAGCCGAACAAGCCACTTCTGATTGTCGTCAATGCCCCAATCCGATTGGAGACATCAAAGCATTGGCTTGTGCCGTTGATTGGAGTGAGTCGTACTTTTTAAGATACTAAACCCACCATCCTTTAGTCTCGAAGCTGCGCATCTTGAACAAGACGACGACGACTATCGACGGAGAGACCGTTGATGCCTACACTCTGGAACATTTGGATATTCTGAAGGGAACTCTCGAGATTCCATCCCTTCTCATCGTCCCGAATGGACCTTGTGGACTTGTCCTGAATGCTGATGTGGAATATCTCGTCTCTGGTATGATCAACTACCCACAATCCATCTTCTTTTAGGTGTTCTGGCTGGAAAGAGTGCCCTCTTCACGAATCTTTGCCTTCAAATCCTTCAAACAGCCGAACCCATCCTCGACAAGGTCAATCAAGGACTTCTTGGCCAGATCTCTGATCTTCTCTGTGATGTCTTTGATATTCTCCCAACGTCAGTTTTCTATTTAATGATCTAATTACCGTATCCCTATTACAGTCTTGATACTTGGCTGGCTGGAAATGGAGGTCTTCTCGGACATCTTCTTGGTGCCAATGGAAATCCTCTTCTTGATGGTATCTAAATACATTCTAAACCTTCTAATATTCTATTTTCAGGTCTGATTGGTGGTCCATCTGGTGCCCCTGGTGTTGTTGATGGTCTTCTACTGCAAATTCTGAATGGAAAATTGGTCGGTGGACTTCTCGGATCCGTTCTCGACAACGATAGCGGACTTCTGGGTGGCCTTCTTGGTGGAGATTCGGGACTTCTCGGTGGATTGACTGGTGGTTTGACTGGTGGAAATGGCGGTCTACTTGGAGGAGCTCTTGGAGGAGGAGGAAGTGGTGGACTCCTTGGAGGACTCCTTGGCCGTAAATAAGCCTTCAATCCCCTTCCTATAACCTGTTTGTAATTATGTCACGAATTCTAATAAATTATCTTTTACTATCGTTTCTTCACCGCACTGAATTATAATATGGTATCCGGACCACGAAAACTATGTTTCAAAAGTTCTCATTTTCTATGTCACGAGACCTATATCTAGCCACGAGTGACGAGATAGTGGCGGGTTCAGGCTAAAAAACAACATCCAATTTGGTTCTTGGCTTAATGCCCCGTGCAGTGCATCGATTCCGGGCTCTTCTTCTCTCCGTGAACCCCCGCCAAAAGGGTCATCGGGCCACGGCAAGCCCCTTTCTAGCCTTGGGCTGCCTTTTCGTAATGTGTTGTGGTGCACACTAAGTTGCCTATTTGGTCCAAATTTATTCTTGAATCGGATTCGTTTCTCTCAACCGCTAAAATATTCAAAATTCACCACCTACATTCGCGATCGAATTGCTAGGTTTTAAAATGTAATCTTAGGGAAAATGGGTTTCCCAATGTGGCTTTGGCGCCCTAAAGTGCAACCGCAACCCCCGGTCGCTCCGAACAATTATCTTTGCTTTGGATGTTGCGGATGCAAAGTTACGGTGGGTCGATTCAATGTTTTCTTATTTCATGAAAAGCCGTCATGCCAGCATAATCGCATTCCAAAAATACACTTCGATTTTAGGCGATCGCTTCACTCATCTCTGGTTTTTACAAATGCCTCTCACTGCAATTCATCAAGCAAATGAAGCCAAGCTACTTGCAATTATTTATGATAATATTTGTAAGTTCCATTGCCACGGAATACCCTTCCGCTAGCAAAGACGCAAAAAAAATCTGGTTACGTTTAGTTTACCAGCCAAATAGTCGGTTCCGGCGTTTGTTGGGCTCTCCAATACCATATGATCAACATGTAAGATGATTTAAGCCTTTTAATTCTAGAATTTAGTGAAAATACGAATGGGTCTCATGGTCAACGACAAAAGCATGACATTAGGAAATCTCGTGAGAAAATGAGTTTGCCTTCTTTACGACGTGTTTAGTACTATTGCCTTCCCTGCTCATTTCTACCCTATTTATGTTCTGGATAGACTTTATGATCTTTCAGTATTATCGATTTCTCAGGTAAGGCCAGGCTTTTATTTTTCCTACTTATAAACGGGCGGTCTTCCCATTTGAACCCCTTTCATTTTTTAGGGACCGGCAGCTGGAAACTGAACAGAATTCGCTACCCACGCTGAACCAGCCATTGGACGCGGCAGGGATAGATGTGATCAAAGAAATTCGATCTTAAACTGTCCTAATAAACCTATTTGATAACACCCAATTGAGCTTTCCTGTTTGAAAATTAGCTTTTCCCTCTACCGGTCTCCATTTTGAATTCGATCGATCGGCCAATTATACGCAAATTCGTTCTGGCCTAAAAATGACGAAGTTATCATGAGTTATGTTGGCAGTCCACACGTCGAAACGCTTCTAGCCGTTGAATCATATTGGCGGGGCGGCACTTTCGAATCGGTGGTATTTTGTCTCGGCAAATGACAATCCTTCTCGTGTTCGGCAAGAAAATACAACAAAACTTTCTTTAAATTCTCTGCCCATTCCTTGCTTCTCCTTATTTATTGGCAATGGATTTCACAGGCCTCAGTTCCAGCATGAAAGGTTGGAGACAATTTATTAAAATCTTTAAATATATGACAGCCACAACCAACAGTTTCTTCAGAAAACCCCCGCAAACGGCCGCACCAGGAATCGTCCGCCAATCTGGATCCGACCATATTCGATCGATTCCAAGCCTTACCATGGGAGGTCAAAAATGAAATCCTCTCAAATCTGGGGCCCTTGGAATTTGTCGTCTTCGCCCTGGCCCACAAGGAATTCAAGGGCTTGGTCGATCGTTTTCCCAAACAATGGGATCGTTTCGGAGTCTCTAGAGAAAATGCGCTCATAATATATTCGCGCACAACGGGCGGTCGGATGCAGCGTACTGTCCTCGAATTCATGTATGTGCTTCGATAAGTAACGTAAATGTCAAAATTAGGGCCGGTGCTATGTGTGAAGGGCCGAGGCACGGTGTCCAGCAATGGGCTGTCTTTGCCCAAAGGGACTGCTGGAAAATCCGGCCAATACTTTTGCAAAACGCGAAGATAAGAGTGGTAGTTCCTGAAATGATCCTCCAACCATTTCAACCTTTAGTTTGATTCCCCGGGGCAGTCACGGTTGTGGCTGCGGCGGCTTACCCCCGAAAAATCTGCAAATCGAAATATGAGCCTTTCCCCGTCGATTCCCGCGCCGATTTGCCTGCTGGAAGAATTAATGCGTAAGTGACTGACCACAAAATTCAGATCGCGATTGTTTCAGGGTTGTTCAACTTGAAAGGGCTACGTGTGTCATATTCGCCCGTGAACCCAAAAGATTATCAAGTTATGGATTTTTTTTCAGGAACATCCGGTACGACAGTGTATTTAAATTTTAACTAAATAAGGTGTAAAAAGTTGCTGCTTTTAGGAGATCACTACGGCCGAATATTACTTGTGCGAGAAAGAATACATAAAATATATGAGATGCGTGAAGCAGCCCCGGCAAATTGTTAGCATCCGGGCTTATAATTATGCATCATAATGCAATGCAGTGAAGTAATGATATTAAAAAAACATTTATTAGATCTGTACTCGTGACATAATTACAAACAGGTGATATGAAGGTGATTGAAGGCTCATTTGCGGCCAAGAATTCCTCCAAGGAGTCCACCACTTCCTCCTTGTCCTCCTCCCAGAAGTCCGCCCAGTAGACCACCATTTCCACCAGTCAAACCACCAGTCAATCCACCGAGAAGTCCCGAATCTCCACCAAGAAGGCCACCCAGAAGTCCGCTATCGTTGTCGAGAACGGATCCGAGAAGTCCACCGACCAATTTTCCATTCAGAATTTGCAGTAGAAGACCATCAACAACACCAGGGGCACCAGATGGACCACCAATCAGACCTGAAAATAGAATATTAGAAGGTTTAGAATGTATTTAGATACCATCAAGAAGAGGATTTCCATTGGCACCAAGAAGATGTCCGAGAAGACCTCCATTTCCAGCCAGCCAAGTATGAAGACTGTAATAGGGATACGGTAATTAGGTCATTAAATAGAAAACTGACGTTGGGAGAATATCAAAGACATCACAGAGAAGATCAGAGATCTGGCCAAGAAGTCCTTGATTGACCTTGTCGAGGATGGGTTCGGCTGTTTGAAGGATTTGAAGGCAAAGATTCGTGAAAAGGGCACTCTTTCCAGCCAGAACACCTAGAAGAAGATGGATTGTTGGTAGATGATCATACCAGAGACAAGATATTCCACATCAGCATTCAGGACAAGTCCACAAGGTCCATTCGGGACGATGAGAAGGGATGGAATCTCGAGAGTTCCCTTCAGAATATCCAAATGTTCCAGAGTGTAGGCATCAACGGTCTCTCCGTCGATAGTCGTCGTCGTCTTGTTCAAGATGCGCAGCTTCGAGACTAAAGAATGGTGGGTTTAGTATCTTAAAAAGTACGACTCACTCCAATCAACGGCACAAGCCAATGCTTTGATGTCTCCAATCGGATTGGGGCATTGACGACAATCAGAAGTGGCTTGTTCGGCTGATCCGAGATCCAGTTGGGCTACGGTAGCCGAGGCAAGAAGGCACAGAGTTGCGATGCGGACGGCGTGCGCCATTTCGAAGTAAGAAAGTAGATGAAGAGCTTGAAGCTGATGCCAATGGTTCGAAGCCGAACCCTTTTATACACACTTCGCTTGTCTAAAAATTCATCTCGAATGTTCCATTAACAATGGCGTATTTTCGACCCTGCCGATCTCCACGAAAACATAAGCAACTTGTCTGGCTGGACCTGGGGCTAACATATTTTTGGACGTCCCGCTGAGCTTTTCGTTGGGGTCAGCCGAACAGTGGGTATTTTCGAACGGGTGGATGGAACTTGTTTTCCAAAAGTCGAGCTTTTGATACAAGTTTCTAATTTTGATCGGGGACATGTTGCTGGGGATTGCGGCCGAGAGTTAGAAAGGTCTGGGCTGTTTTCGGAAAAATCCGAACAGATTGTTCCCGTTGGCTATAAAAGCCACGAATCTCCAATGGTCAGCATCAGCTTCAAGCTCCTCATCTAATCTTCTAAGTTTCGTAAATTAGCCCCAGTACACTGATTCATACCAGTATAGAAAGATGGCCCACGCCGTCCGCATCGCAACTCTGTGCCTTCTTGCCTCGGCTACCGTAGCCCAACTGGATCTCGGATCAGCCGAACAAGCCACTTCTGATTGTCGTCAATGCCCCAATCCGATTGGAGACATCAAAGCATTGGCTTGTGCCGTTGATTGGAGTGAGTCGTACTTTTTAAGATACTAAACCCACCATCCTTTAGTCTCGAAGCTGCGCATCTTGAACAAGACGACGACGACTATCGACGGAGAGACCGTTGATGCCTACACTCTGGAACATTTGGATATTCTGAAGGGAACTCTCGAGATTCCATCCCTTCTCATCGTCCCGAATGGACCTTGTGGACTTGTCCTGAATGCTGATGTGGAATATCTCGTCTCTGGTATGATCAACTACCCACAATCCATCTTCTTTAGGTGTTCTGGCTGGAAAGAGTGCCCTCTTCACGAATCTTTGCCTTCAAATCCTTCAAACAGCCGAACCCATCCTCGACAAGGTCAATCAAGGACTTCTTGGCCAGATCTCTGATCTTCTCTGTGATGTCTTTGATATTCTCCCAACGTCAGTTTTCTATTTAATGATCTAATTACCGTATCCCTATTACAGTCTTGATACTTGGCTGGCTGGAAATGGAGGTCTTCTCGGACATCTTCTTGGTGCCAATGGAAATCCTCTTCTTGATGGTATCTAAATACATTCTAAACCTTCTAATATTCTATTTTCAGGTCTGATTGGTGGTCCATCTGGTGCCCCTGGTGTTGTTGATGGTCTTCTACTGCAAATTCTGAATGGAAAATTGGTCGGTGGACTTCTCGGATCCGTTCTCGACAACGATAGCGGACTTCTGGGTGGCCTTCTTGGTGGAGATTCGGGACTTCTCGGTGGATTGACTGGTGGTTTGACTGGTGGAAATGGTGGTCTACTGGGCGGACTTCTGGGAGGAGGACAAGGAGGAAGTGGTGGACTCCTTGGAGGAATTCTTGGCCGCAAATGAGCCTTCAATCACCTTCATATAACCTGTTTGTAATTATGTCACGAGTACAGATCTAATAAATCTTTTTTTAATATCATATTTCACTGCATTGCATCATAATATCGTAACCCAACCGTAAAAACCCATTCACTTCACAGGGCAAAAGAAAACGACTCCAACCATTAAAATTCCAGATACGGTTCAGACAAAGCTTCCAAAAAGCCAAAAGGATTTGCGTTCGGGGGGAATCGAACCCCCGTCGAATGCTTGGAAGGCATCCATGCTGACCATTACACCACGAACGCACGTCCGGAGTGGAAGGGGGAAGGGGATATGAAGGGAGGGGATCGTCAAGCCGGTTTTGGCTCGCCCAGCTGCCATGTGTTGCCCCAGGCAAGGCAGGGTAATGAAAATGGTTGAGAGATATTTATTGCAATGCTGTCCGTTTTGTTTTCAAGAAAAACTACTTTTCGCGGTCTATTTAAAAGGCCGTCCGCGAGTCACTCGAACAGTCCCCATTATCGCTTGGCACAGTTTTTTTTCGACCCCGATTTCTTGATGCCATCTGATAGAGCGTGGTCGAATTAGAGGAATTGCACTAATTTGGGATTTTTAAGTTAGCATTTTCCTAGTTAAACAAGGCGTCAAAGTTGCCAACGTCCAAAATTTATCTCGACGACTACTTGACAGAGGTGGATGAAACTTTGTGACTAGGCCTAATTTGGGATGGGGATCATTTTTCTAATACATCGCAAAGCACGAAAATTAGCAGAACCTAGTTAAATTGCATACCCAAAACAGTTTTTGCCAAATTTCAAATTAACGGCGAGTCGGCCGCTAGCTGGAATTAGGCTAGAAAGATGCGCAAAATTTTTCTGCATTGATTGATGTATTATTTAGGTGGCGGCCAGGTCGCCGTTTTCTCACAGCGAGGTTTTTATAGCTGAAAAATGGTCAGAAAATCTGACTAAAATGGAAAATATGGTGGTATTTACATATCGGAATAGTCAAAACGCATCAAGAAATCATGCCAAGTCGATTGCAAAAAAGAGCAAAAAGAAATTCGGCTTCTGAGAGTGAGCTGGGATTGAACTGGCGGCGGCTCTGGATTGGCACGCCGACGCTCTACTCACTGCGCTACAGGGCTCCCAGGCGGAGGGTCCAGGTTCGATTCCCGCCCAAAACAAGCACCCCTTCAAATGTCGAATTTCTTTTTGCTAATTTTTGCGTTTAGCTTGGCGTGATCGTTAAATATGACCCCGTGGGTCAAAACATAGAAAATCGCAAAATTTTTGATTTTAGTCAGATTTTCTGACCATTTTTCAGCTATAAAAACCTCGCTGTGAGAAAACGGCGACCTGGCCGCCACCTAAATAATACATCAATCAATGCAGAAAAATTTTGCGCATCTTTCTAGCCTAATTCCAGCTAGCGGCCGACTCGCCGTTAATTTGAAATTTGGCAAAAACTGTTTTGGGTATGCAATTTAACTAGGTTCTGCTAATTTTCGTGCTTTGCGATGTATTAGAAAAATGATCCCCATCCCAAATTAGGCCTAGTCACAAAGTTTCATCCAATTCTTTCAAGTAGTCGTCGAGATAAATTTTGGACGTTGGCAACTTTAACGCCTTGTTTAACTAGGAAAATGCTAATTTAAAAATCCGAAATTAGTGCGATTCCTCTAATTCGACCACGCTCTATCAGATGGCATCAAAAAATGGGGGGTCGAAAAACTGTGCCAAGCCTTGTTCGGGTCTCGCAAACGGCCTTTTAATAACAACGGTATAACAACAAAATCTGGCGGGCTTCCCGGTATTTTTGCTGTTCCTAATATTTTTGAAACTATCTAAATGAGAATTGTTCGCGCGAGATTTGTAAACTTGATTGCTACTTGGTCACTAACGCTTTATGATAGGAAAGTCGCTATTTAAAAACTCTGGCTGACTAACTGTTATCCTTGAGGCCCATTAATAACACGGTGACCAAAGTTCTCGTCTTCCAAGGGCGAGAGAGCGAGAGAGTGAGAGAGTGAGAGATAGAGCGAGAGAGAGCGACAGAGAGCGACAGAGAGGGACACGAAAATTCTAAAGGCTAAAGAAAGGAAGGCAATTTTCTTACGAAAATCTAATGATCTTTAACCCGCCAGAGGAAGGGATGTGTCCTAACGTTTGGGCTCGAGGTAAGGATGGATCCGATCGATCAACGATAAATAAAACAAACTATGAATGAGATGTAAAGGTTACGAGCGTTTCTGAATAGCTGTCTTGCCATTCGACAGCCATACCGAAGTGCGCACCGACGATGACGACCAGGGTGGTGTAGACGCCGACGAGGGAATCAAACCATAGCGGTATCTAAAGAGAAAGCTGTCTTTAGTGTTCCCATACCTTGCGCTCGTAAGTAAATAATAAGGGAGATTCTTGATAACCCGCGCTATTTTTCGGAAATACAGTAGGTTTAGGTCACGCTCGTGGGAAAACGGCTCGTCTGACGATGAGGATAATTGGATCATAACCTCTTACTTTCTTCGACTAAAACTGTCGTTTTTGGCGGATACACGAAAAACCAAAGAGCTGAAAATGGAAATGTGGAGTGGAGACTCGCTCTCTGAGCCCGCACCTGTTCTTTCCGGTGTTCCGCAAGGTTCAGTATTGGGACCTCTGCTTTTTATTCTTTACGTCAACGATTTAAATAATTCCCGATGCTTACCCCAAGCACAGCTCTTTGCAGACGATCTTAATATGACGTCCCACTTCTCCAGCACCATTCCCTCGAACATGGCCGATCAGTTGCAAAAACTCGAGTCCTGGGTCCACGAGAATCAACTACCTCTTGCTGTCCCAAAATGTTCTACAGTCCATTATGGCAGAAGAAATCCGAAGAACCAATACATTCTTGATGGTATTCGTCGACCGCAGACAAATTGCATACGTGATCTGGGTGTCCTGATGAGCAGCGACTTCAGCTGTACTCCACATGTATTAGAGATGACGAGAAAGGCAGCTCGCTGTTCCTTTCTCATTTTGAAAATTTTTACCAGTAGGATACCAGCGTCATATATTAAAAGCTTTTCAAGTATACGTTCGCCCACTAGTAGAATTTGCCTCAGTAGTGACGTCACCTTACTTTAAAAAGATCAAATAACTATAGAATCAATTCAGAAAGACTTCTTCCGTCCGAGTGTGCTATCGTTGCCGGGTCCCGTATGGCTCCTACAGTTCGGCTCTCACCAATTTCTCCGCTGAACCGCTGAACTTTAGGTGAACCATCATGGACCTTTGTTTCCTATACAATTTACACAAACGTGCTTCCAATATTTTCCCTCAAAACTTTTTCGAATGTGTTCCATCCCGAACTCGAGGTCTGCTCGTTAAGCTCAAGCCTATTCTCGGTCAAAAATCCTCTGTACAAAGGCCTTCTTTTCATTGCGTGTATGTGCTCTTTGGATTCGTTGCCCCAATCTGCCTTCGATAGCTCTTCAAATAAGGTATTTAAAAGCAGGTTTCCCGATTAGTACCTATTTCATCCATTCTTTAATTAATCATGTCCATTTAACGCCTTCGTGCTTGCTCACCCCCCCCCCTTTTTTTCTTCAACAAACTTCCAACCTTACCTCCACTAAGTGTTTACTTGTAAACCTAAGTGCGAGAAATAAATTATTATGGTATCAACCGTAGCAAGTTCTTCAAGCAAGGACTTGAAGCATACTGATAGTTTTGATGCTCTGCACTGGGAATCGCATTTTTAGTTGCCCGCGGCAAGAAGGTTTTACCGCGGCTTCTCCCCCCGGTTGGCTATTGTAAATCGATCACCCGTTCCGCCAACAAATTTTTCCCAGACGACGGCTTTTATGAGAAGCTGTGCAATGATTCAGAGCCGACTTGTTTTATGGTCGCTGCATTTTATTAGGGATCGGTGGTCGGACCAGTTGACGTGTTTCGTGACCCTATCATGTCTGCCTAATCTCCTTTCACCCACGCTAGCGTCAACTCCGCGTCTTGTTACCTATTCAAGCTCACTGTACGCAGCATAATGTCTCTTAATTCTCCAAATCATACGAAGTTTATGCATGGCCTGTTTGGTGGTGGAGTTAAAAGACAGTTATACAAAGTACAGTACAACATTCGGAATGGAGCTGCAAATCTTTCCGGCTTTTGACGTGTTTATTCGGCCTGGCACTTTTGCGAAGTCGGCTCGACGAGCACGGCGATTGGCTCGAAGCCACTAAATAAATGAATATTAGTGAGGTTTGCGCCAAAATCTAGCTCTCTCTCTCATCTCTCTCTCTCTCTCTCAAAATTTTCCCGGGAAAACTTATGTGTTACCTTTGTTCATCGTTCAAAGCCTTCACGCCCAGGTGGTTGTAGATGCCCAAGAAAGCAATTGCTAAAATTTTTCTCGATCTTTCCCAAATCCCACAAACCCGTGACAAACATCATCCAGCCCAAGAACCTGGTGACGTACAGCAGACGATATTTGTCCATCGTCATTGTGCTGTAAATTTGTACAGCATGGAACCTCAATCCGCAAAACTCACATCATCTGGTCCTGGGTGCTCAATTCCACAGTGGACAGCATGACAAACAACATCGTAAAGAATCCGACGATCACCTGGAGCATTTAATGAATTAATGGAACTGGGCTTTCTTTTCAAATTCCCCAAACTTACGGCGTAATGCGCAAAAACTCGGCCAAGTTTCAGCGTACGGTCGACGGTGTTGAAATACCAGCACATGAAGATCGCTTGCCCAAGCCACATGATCCAAGAGACGGCCTGAAACATATGATTTTACGCTTTAATGGCGGCTTGCTTTGCTTCGATTTTCAAGAGGCCTGGAAACAGAGCATCGACGCCTTCCATCCGCTAGATCTCGTCAGCTACGTACCGCACCAATCAACAGGTAGGGGCGGAGGGCGAGAGCGTAAAGTGTAGCATACTCACCAACGCGAACGCCATGTATTTATCGTTCTCGTCGAGCAAGACAAAATGACCCCCAGCGACCATCGTCAGGCCGGTGTAGATGCCGACGAGGCCATCTTGGAACAGGCAGCGCTGCAAAACGTGATTTCAAATACGCGTACTAGCTGAGCCGTGTGTTATTCAGAATTTTCTTGGTAAAATATATAATTATATATAATAAGGGTGTCCCAAAAACACCCTGGCTTCGTGGGACCAATCGCCAAATTTGGACCAGGGTGTATCAGACCTAAATAATAACAATCCTGACTTATAGCCCATAGCTACAGTAGTTTTAAATTTATAACGAAAATACTGTTTTTGGTATTCTGAACAGTTTATCGGCATCTGGATGCATCGATGCATCGATTCGGCAGTGAATCCTAATTTCGCTTAAGAACTGAGGTAGGTTTGCATTGTAAAATCGTTTAAATGAAGCATTAATTAATTTTACTCTGGAAAAAATTTCTTAGGGTAAAGAAGGCTACCGGATCATTTTCACTTAATATTTAGGGGTCTAATTCCATAAAAACCCCTATGAAAAATGGAAAATAAAGATTGTTTGCTATAACTAGCGACTAGCTCGGCATAAGTCAGGTTTTGATTTAGGGTCTATACACCTCCTCAAATTGGGACCGATTGGATTAACCCGGAGAGATCGGGTCCTAAAGAAATTTTGTTTGCCTTGATTCCCTTTGTTTTTTTTCCAATAATACCGCTCACATCCTCATGTTGCTCAATCTCGGCCTCCTCTCCATTTTCTTTGACAATCATCGCCTCCTTCATCGAAATTGGCATATCGATCTTCATGATGCCTTTAATTTGACCTTATTTTCTGCTTTGGTATGATATTTTAAGACGCGAACTGTCGAAAACAAAAATAGAAATTTCTGGAAATCATTTATTAAAGGGACTGAAAACCAGACATGGATGAGGGGAGTGCGAATGCCATCGCCCCGGTTGACCGGATAAAATCGAAAATGTTAATTCTTGTGAGACGGCCGAGCAGTCGAGAGGGGCGGAATTCAATACAAATTCAGCATCGGCGGCGTTGGCTTGTTATTGCCTGGGGAAATCGTATATGTGGATGGGAGGTGAAGGCGGGGGATGTTGAAACAATGGAAAAAGACTGAAGGGCCGAGGAAGATGTTTGAAAACAAAATGAAGCATTGGGTAAATCTGTCACGTTGTATTGCGTTGCCGAGCAGCTGATTAATGGGCCAAAAATGCTAATTTTTATGGTTTTGTTGAAATTCTAGACGGGGAATCCGAAACCTCAGGTTTTGGTGAAAAGCATCAGCGGCTCGAAAACTAAGCTAATTTAGCTGTAATTGACTACACGAATTCTTACGATGCTCTTAGACAAATTCACCCAGGCTTCATTATACCTTTAATGACAAGCGTTTAAAAACTCCGAACGGTTATGTTTCAGTACTTAGGGTAGACGCGGCAATCGACGTCATCGTCGCCAACCTCCAGCGGCAGCTTCTGCTCCTCGACGGTTCCGGCCTCCGACAGCACGACCTGATCGTTCCTGGAAAATAATGACTAAACCAGCCACCAGGTGGTCCTTACTTGCTCAACAACTTCCAGGCCAGCGGGGAGGCGCCGAGCATCAGAAGAGCTAAAATACGATAATTCATATTCAGATTTTTTTGAATTTACCATTGAAGATGCCGAAACTCATCAGCATGCAAACCACGGGGCCGACGGTCGTGCTAAAAATTGGGCTTAAAATTAAGTTTGGTAGACTTTGGTAGCTTTGGTATATGTTAATGTGACGGTAGCTAAGCGTATCTAGGTATCTGATAGGTAAGTAAGTATATAGGTAGGTAATTAAAAAAAATTTACATCAACGGGGAGCGGGCGTTATTCCAACCAAAAATCACCGCTACCAAGGCGGTCAGGATCAGTTCCATTGCCTAAAAGATTTTTTTAAACATAGTTGTTTGATTAATTTATTTTTGTCACCTCTAAATATCTATAAAAAAAATACCATCAACTGCCCAAACCTCCTCGGCCACTGCTTGCCGAAGAAGGCGCAGTGCAGTCCGGCGAGGATCCCGTGACCCAGGAAGGCAGTCGTGGCCAGGAACTAAGATGTTGTCCAATTTTTCAAAAAATAATGATTCCTGGTTTTTTCAAGGATCCGTAGTCGCTTAACTTACGGCGCGGAACGTGGTCCATTCAGGGCCCTGGTGCGACTTGCAGGCGACGAATCCAAGAACAAGAAGCGTGGCGAGCGAGGCCACGCAGAAGAAGATGAACTCGATGATTGAAGCCTAAAAAAATTACAAGTTGATTTGGGTACTACAGAGGTGATGGTGATGGTATGATGGGCTAATGGTGCAGATGGCTTACCTTCGGCATCATTGCAGTTGGGAAGTAGGAGACAAGGAGAGCGGTTGAAGCTGAAATTATTTATTGAATAGGGAGAAAGCTAGAAAGAGAGTGCAATAGAGAGAGAGAGAGAGACAGACAGACAGACATACAGACAGACAGAGACAGACAGAGAGAGAGAGAGAGAGGCAGAGAGAGACAGAAAGACAGAGTTACGGAGAGGGAGAGAGAGAGAGAGCGAAAGAGAGAGAGCGAGAGAGAGAGAGAGAGAGGAGAATAAAGTATTCAAAAACACAAGACAGGGAATACGAAATCAAAGAATTGTGACTCGTTTGGCATATACCCTGCCCTACCAATTGATGGCCCGTCATTTAGCCTGCGCTTCCCCGAAACGGTCTACCCCGTAAAGTACATCCTATTGGTTTCCCAGAAAAGGCCCATAAAGCGCCCGATGACTCAGTCGTGCAATGGTCTCGTTGGGTATCATTAAGACTAGGGTATCGATAAAGATGTAACCGCACTGGCTAAAGATGACCAGCTAATTTTTAAGAAGGGGACCCAAGAGACTCATTGGAGGAAGATGAACGAACGAATACTGGAGTGAATTGGAATGACCCCCGGGCCAGGGAGGCGGAGTCCATTACAACGAGAGGAAAACATTTTCGTCGGCCCGGGCTATTTTATCCTCAGACAATCTGCGAAATGGGGCTGAATGACTAACAGAGTGATGATCTCGCGACGAATACGAAATTTTGGGGGCGTCTGGAAAAACAGAATTCTGGTCGATGAATAAACTATGCTCGGTGCTGTGAGATGACAAAGATGCGTCAACGCAGATGCGCAGGGTGACTTTGGGCGACGCGTACATTAATGACCCATGGCCAGGTCAGGCGCAAGTTTTTAATAATTCGTATCAGCATACACATCATAGCTGAACAGATTTCCGACGTGGCCTTTCTAAAAAGTCATGAGAAGACAGACAGATCATGCTTTCAAGTGGAATTGAAACAATAAAAAAGCGATAATCTGCTTGTTTCTGGCTTATATACGCCGGGAAACATGGCAGATATCGCCAAGTACATAAATTCCCTGACCCTAGGCCGAAAATTACCGTAGCGCGCTTATCGTTCGGCCTCCCTTGAGGGACTACGGCAGACGCTTTATCTAACAGCGCCTCCGGGTAGTGTGACTACTGATAATGCGCTCTGTCGTCAGGGTAGCGCCCCCATCGCGGCACGCTTTTGTTTGCGACCTTGACTGATAAGCTAATTCGGAGATGCGGTAATTTTCTGGGTAAATGCCAACGTCGAGAAATACGTCTTTCGAAATGCAAACCGGCAATTTGTCCCCAAAAACTGCATCGAAGGGCTACGAACTGCTTGTTTACACCAAAAACCATCCAGCTGGGCCTCAATGGGGGACGCTACCCTGCACGACACCCTAATGTCGGCGCAATTCCCTTTATGTAACGTCTTCCCTTGCCGTGTTTTGGCGTTGCGTATCCGAGCTGAGGTGTTTATGCAAATAGCAATATTTTTTAAAAAACAAATCACATACAGTGAGGGCACGACAAAAAATATGAGATCAGGAAGCGGATATGGTTAAAAAAGTTAGTACATAGTCAAGTAGCCACGCGTATAATTTCTCAGCTATTTGTTTAGTGGCAGATTTTGTTCTTCAAGTGGAGCAGTAAGAACGACTGGGGCATCGAACGATTCCTTGGCGAGTTGGCGGTCCCTAAAATCAATATATATTTTGGAAAAGAATTGATTTAACAAGTTTACTGCACGTCAAGTAGAGTAGAACATACCTTATGTAACGGTAATACGATGCGACGACTGTGAAAATGCAGGAATAAATGAAGATCTGGATTGCGGCGAGCGTGTAAAGGCCTAAAAAATTATCGAAAGCAAGCGATAAAAATACCTTTTTTGGGAAACTTCTTTAGGGGTTCCCCGTAAAAATGGTGTTTGATTTCTGCCCGTTCGTTGATTCTAAATTAGGTTCGTCCAATTCAGTGAGTCAATAATCCGAAAATTAACTAAACGACGATGAAACCCCTACTCCCGAATCTGCTTCGCATAATTCAGCGTCGTATATATGAAAGAGAATATCTGGGCGGTCAACTGGAAAAAATAATCGTCTTTTGTATCACTGAAAGGGTTACCATGACGATCAAAAACAACTGCATGTAGGAAGGTTTTTGAGTTTGAATGACCCTTATCCCCAAAAATCCAAGTGGAACCTGCCATATTTGAGTAGCTATCTAAAAATGGCTGATGTTGGGCATTTCGCGTCTTTGAACAAAAGAACTTGTTTTTAGCCTTTTGCAGTGGGCTTACGTTCGGATAATCCGAGAATCGAAATGCGCTCCATTTATTCTGCGAAAAAAGGTCGTAGACAATCCAGACAAAATAAGATAATGATCCAATCAACCATATCGTTAGAATAATGGTAAATACGATCTTAAAGGAATTTAATCGGTTTTTCAAAGGCGACCTGAGGATGGTTAAAAATCTTACCTTTGACGTGATTTTGCCAAAACATAGCGAATAATTCTTGGGGACAACTGGTAGCGGAAAAACCTGAGTTTTTGGTCGCCAGAGCCAGGTTGGTAGACTTGGCATAGCTAAAAAGTTGCGTAGTAGTATACCTTTGGTATGTGGTATATTAAGATCCATTTGAAAAAAAGACTGGTTGCCAATCGTACGAGGAATATGATTACATCTAAATTACCCAGAGACCATACTCATGCAAAATCCAAAATTCAGTCCAAAACCAAAGTTAATGGTAAATTGAGACCTTATTTGACCTGCAAGATCCGTAAACAAAAATAGCTTGTGTTTTAGTCGTTTCCGACGAGCGAAAGCGCATGTGACCCCCACTCGGCCCAGGGCCTGCGTCTCTCGTGATGCCCCAGTCTTTTCTATCACCTAGCCTTTCGTCTCTGGCCAGTAGAATCGGGTCGAAAAAGAGCGGTTTTTCTGCGGAAAAAGGAAGAGCACCGGCTACAAATACCCGCAAAATCGGCACATGGTATCGAAAATTGCCATTTTTTCGAAACCGCCTTACGCAAAAAAAACACATTAAAAATTTCCTGCATCCTGTAATAAACAACTTTGAAAAAAACATTTATTGCCTTGAAAAAACCCGTGTTTACAAATATTATTCGAATCAATGTTGCGCGGCGCTGCGACGGAGACGAACACGGCCAAATTCGCCGGCGTACGGGTCGGCGTGGCCGGTGATGATACCGAGGGCATCGTCGTCGTCTTGCTAAATTAATGGTTTTCGGCGTTTAACGTTATAATCAACCTGGACTTCGCGATAATATCCAGTTGGTTGTGGAGCATCGATTGCTGGCGTCTAAAAAACTTCGAAATAGCTGGATGTTACATACATTCATGCTTGTAAAGTCATGCTTTTTACAGGCATTCATTCATAAAGGTATCTCTCGAAATCCTACCTTGAAATACCCATCCCATTTGGCCAACTGCCATTCCCAGGCCATAATCGAGCCCAGAATCGCGTTCTCCTGGTAGATCATCATTACTCGAATACCCATCTAAAACAGTTTTGGAATTTCGAAAATGACCAACTAACCTGGAAAAGCGGCAACGAGAGCACATACCAAATCATCGGAACGGCAGCTGTCTAAACACAGGGTTTTTTAACATTTCTGTATAAACTTACTGTAGAATTCCGTGGCACATCATCTGACATACCCATGGCCGACACCGTAACGTACACAAAGTAGCAAGCGTCCCAGTAGCCCATCGGCTTATGGTTGCCCTAAAAATAAGCATAACACGCACATTCTTATCTCTAGGTAAGCTTAACCGCAAAATCTAGATCAAGTCGATACACAAAAACGTGGATAGATAAAAATTAATTAAATAAGGATCCTACCGGTTCTCCCCAGGCGGCTCCCCAAGCTGCATCGTAGGCCCAAGTCAGAAGCCCGCAAAATAGGATGTTCACTAAAAATTTTTCTTCATGTATGTTTGACAAACATAACATTAAACGATGTATTGAACTTAGTAAAAACTCACGCCATGTATAAATGACGATAATGATTAATGGTAGGGTGATCTCTTCCTTAGGATTAATCGGGATTCCTCGGGCTTTTCTAGAATCGACTTTACGTAGCTTTCCGATTTTTTTTTATCAAAGATGGCCACTCGAAGAGTTGAAGCTCACCTATAGCGCAGCAAAATGCGGGCGTAGATTTTAGTCATGCAAACGAGCCACCATTGACCAAGATCACGACACAGTACCATTAAAAACGGGATCATGATGAAGGCCCAGATGATTGTGAAGATGCGGCCACGAGTTGTGTTCACGGTGATGGTACCTAAAACCGTAGGATAGCCTGGCTTTTCACTTCTTCCTCTTTCTCTTTCTCTCTATATCTCTCTCCCTCTCTGTCACTCTCTCTCTACCTCCATCTGTCTCTCTGTCTCTCTCTATCTCTGTCTCTCTCTAATACCTACCATAACCAGTTGTCATATACATTTGAACTGCGTAATTCACCGATGGCCAATATAGCCATGTCAAATTATCCTCCGTAGCATTCTTGTAAAACGTCGATTGCTTCCATACGCCTTCATTCCGTTGCAACAGGATATAGGCATTCTAAAAGCATTTTAGCAACCCTATCAGCATCAAAATTACCCTAATGAAATCCTCGATTTCTGCCTGGGTCGTGATATTATTCTGGTTTACCAGCTGTTCAGCAATCTGTTGCATTTGCGCTTCAAGGGACGCCGTCGTCTCAGCAACATTCTAAACACAGATTTTTGCGTGGCGGCCCCAGCTTACCTCAATCTCTGAGTAATGTTCGATATGGTAAAATATCAAACCGCCAAGTAGCCCAACACCAATGATTAAGGACGCGATTATTAAATGCTTAAAGGATGATAGAGCCAGATTTTTAACAATACCTTGAACGCTAATATTCTCCAAAAGAAGAGCAGGCCGTATTTTCGGGCCCCAGGAGGTGGGTTCCAGATGCTAAACGGCGTGTGGACTTGGAAGCAAGTAGTTAAGTTACTCATGGGGAAGTTCGTAGTGTTCGGATTTTCCAGTGTGCTTGTTGCGCCAGACATCCGCTTCTAGGCCCATGATAACCCTTAAAATACTCTTTTCGCGTATCGGCGAGCCAAAAATCAGGATGATGAAGGCGAAAATCATGAAAATATGCGTAGAAAGCCAAAACTGAGTTTGGAGTTGGGATTTTAAGACAGGGAATTGGCAAAACAAAAAGCTTGTAGCGCAACATTAAAGCAAATCGACGATTAGCAACGGAAAATAACCTCGTTAGCTTCCGAAGAATCAATTTTTATGGCTTTAATAGACGTAAAATCTAGTACCAAACCGCCAAGACCAATATTTCGCTACACCGAACTAAAGTGCCCTCTGGAAAGTGAGCCGGTTTCGGACCGGCGACATGCACGGCACCCAGCGGGGTGAGACCGAGACACAAATATGGCCACCCTCGCGCTATTCATCCAAAAACTCTCTGTTTGACCGCTCGGCCTGGCCATAAACGGACACTTGGCGGACCCACTGGACTCCTCGAATTGAGCATGATGTCTGCTACCTATTCGAGGAGCTGAGGCCGTGCCAACGGGGATCAATGTTTGGGCTAGCATACAGGGTATTTTTGGCCATCCACTTGAGCCCCTCTGAATGGTTTTGTTTCGATGACCAATCAAAAAATGGCATCTTCTGAAATCTTGGCAAATGGACGCCATCGTGAAAACTGATCACGAAACTAGGCCGTGCATGGCAACACAGCTATTTTCCTATGCAAAATATGTTTTTACGCGAATTATTTTGTGGTGCAAGCTTTCCTAAATTTTCATGGATACTGTCCCTAATTCTCTTAAAACGCAAGCTTTTGATAGAGTTGCGTTGTTTGCGATTATCACGTGATTCTCGTGGCTCAGTCAGTCGATGAAAAAAAAATATTTATTTCTTCTCCTCCAAATAATTCCACAATATCAACTGCTTATCGGTGGACCGCGACAGAAAACTGCACTCTTCCGGGTGCCACCTGAAAATCGATGGGTTAATGAGAAAGAAGCTTTCAAAAAGAATATGATCAACATACCGTATACCCGTGATTTTAAGCGTCTTATCCAATTCATGCGTTGAGATATTGGCCGGGTCATTGAAATTCGACATAACCAGGCTAAGAATTGACACTTTCAAACTGGATTTGAGACATACCTTTCCTCATCCGCCGATGTTAGGAATCGCATATTGGGGCTGAGACGCAGGACTTTGATTGGTTTTAGCATTATCTAGAAAAATACGAATGCTATATTAAAAATCAAGGTTTTACCTTTTCTTTGCAATCTCTTTGCGGCAAGCCAAATCTGCAGCTATGACGCCGCCTTTATCATCGGCTACGGTAAGAATGCGATTGCAGTGGTCGATGTCGAAGCAAGGACGAACTGGAAAAAGAATGTAATAGCAATCTCTCTCTCTCTCTCTCCTCTCTTTATCAACTAAACTCCAGCTCACCGGAAGTCCCGGCCGGTCGATAGACCCAAACGGCTTCTTTAACCCGCACGTCCCAGATCTGTACGCTTTTATCACCGACTCCCACGGCCATCATACAACCCTGCCAACTTCGAAGTGAGGTTGTACCGCCTGAAGACGAAAGTTTTTACTATTCATCTTGTTCCACGGAATATTACTCAAAAAACATACCTCTAATCATCAAGTCCCGAAACAACGTCCCACTGTCCACATCGTACAGCTTCAACCCATTCCCAATTCCGGAAATTAAGATATTCTGCCCTCGAGCCACGTCTTCCATAAAGGCCGCAAATCTGGGGACCTCGGTTCCATTGACTCGAATTGCATTTTTTGTATCTTAAGGAAACAGCATGTTCACAAGGTTTTATTTGATGATTTTATATTGTTACAAGGGACTTACCGAGTTGCCCAGTCCCCGAGTTGAACCCGAACACATTGATGCTTTTCTCATCAAGCGCCGTGGAGGCGAAGAGGTCGGATGTTTCATTGAAGGAGACGCTGGTGATACGAGATGTTGAAGGTTTTAGGCTACAGCATTCGTCAATTGTCCTAAATTAGATATTCTTTGGTCTGTTTATATTAAACTACCGTGAAATATGTGAAATTCGGATATGACCATCGAGTTGTCCTATGGCGCAAGTGGTTCCGGTTGGAGCCCATTCTAGAGCGGTGAGAGACTCATCGAATTGTTTCCCGGTTTTGTGCCACGTTTGATCCTGAAGCTAGCTGATATAAAAAGTTAAAATTCAGGACTTATGGGGCTCGTGAAGTGTCAGGAATAATCTTCGAGCTATTGGGGAGTTAAGATTACGTGCGACTCAAAGTGACACATAAAAATGCTGTCTATAAAATGTATTTCTTTAATGCTGTCAAAATGCCCTTTATCTGATTTGTCAACACCTAGTCGGTGATGGGGGTTGATTTTCGTGTTTTTAGCCCCTTTAAGTTAAGGCGTTTTTTGGGGGTTTTTTTATTGCGTCCTTTGCCCCTAAAAGCTACAGTATGATACGATGAGTCACGAAGTGAATATTCTGACAACACGTCAATTGCATCAAAAACGTCCGAAACACCCACATATTGACTTAGCCAGCCTACCATATACCGTGTTCTTCGCAGACAAATGTGTGGGGGATGGACGTCAATAAAGCCACCCTTATCTTCCTAGCATCTTTTTTACAACAAATACTATTTACCAATGTGCAAGATGGCAGCGAACAAAAACAGTGTTTGGATTTCAAAAAGCGTTAAACTGCCGCAGCAAAAAACCCGGGGGTTTTCGGTCTAAACTGCCCCAGATGGTGGTCTGGATTTTGATTTCCCTCATAGCGTGAGAATTGAGCCCCAAAAAACTTTTCTCTTTTTCACGCCAGCCTACCGATCAAGAACTGACCTTTCGGAAATTGTGAGCCAGATCGTGGAAGTCTGTGTGGGACATGACGGCTAGGCATACATTTCACGTGGCGACGAGCGAGACCCTGAAAGGAGTGGGAAAGGGAGTGGAAACGGACAGATCGACAAATATCGGCAAAAAGGGGGAATCAGATGTGGGGAGTGCACCTCAAAAAGGCGAGCGTCGATTGACCACGAATTAGTCTGAAGTTGGCGAGGGGAGAGGGTGCTAATCCGCTGGTTTTTGATAAGGGTATTCCAGCACTGTGTCATTTCCGGAGTCGAGAAATTCTAGAGACGAGAATATTGAAAAATAAAAAAATAAGAAGATGATCATTCCATTTCGAAAGATTCCATTATAAGCATAAACTTAATTCTTAGATCTTAAGCAAAATTTAAGGCTGCAAAAGGTAACCCGAATACGAAAGTTTACACTTTCGCAAGCAACCTAAATTAATAAATCAGAAATGTGACCAACTGCAAAAAAATCAGATCTTTTAATTTTATTTTTGCAACGTTAATTTGGCAAATTCAGAAGATTAATTGGTTTACAACACCTAAACGTAGAGACAATCAGAAGCGCTTGAGCATTTTCTTGAAACAAAGAGACCCGGTGACATGGCAGCTTTGACGTTTCCGCTGTCATCCGCCGCCCTCTCGACAAACATATCGCCGGCGCAGCTCATCGATTCCCCTTTTGATGTCAAAATGCAGGTAACAAGGCTTGGAAAAAGCTAGAATAAACAGAACAAACGATACTGATGGCCCATGAATTTCCTACAAATAATTTGCATAGCTTATATAAGCCAAATCAAGCAGGTCTCGAAAAGCAGAAGCAAAATACAGATCTCCTCTGAAAACCAGTAAAACTGAAGAAATCTCGCTCGATCTGAGGCTAAAAAGATCAATATCGGTGTCAGTATGTGGCCGACCTTCTTCTTTTACACAACGGGGAGGATGGACGGCTGACCGCTCGCTTTCCCGACAAATGGGCTTGGCGGGGGCTGGGTGACGGGTTACGGGTGTAGCCGCGCGGAAAGCGACAACCTTTCCCAAGGACTCACAAAGCCACATATTGCATCAGACGACAATTAGTGGGGTAGGATTGCTCTGGGTTGTTTTCATGTTACGTAAGACCTTTAGAATAGTGTCTTTGACTTTGGTTCGAAAGCTCCAAACTTAACAGGCCGGGTATACCCTAAGAAATCGTGGAAATCTAAATTGAACTGATTTGGACTGTTTTACCTTATAAATCGATGTAATCATTTACTTTATCGGTCAATTTATATCATTTAGTCAATAGAAAATTGTAGGAAAATGTCAGTTTCTGCATTTTGTCAATTTGCAGTGCATTATTTTGGCAAATTACTGTAATAGCCTTTAATAGCCATTTTATTCAACACAGGCGCACATCACAAACACCTGCCGTGAGGGGAAATTGGTCCACAAAAAACATCAAGAACAGCAATGTTGAGACACACGAGAATCATCTGAACCCCCAAAAAATCAGGGGCGCATCGCCTAATCACAGATCGGGTAGCAAAATAAAAACACAGAAATAAAATCCAATGAAATTAGTTGAGACTTCGGCACGCTTCATATTCAAAAAATCTTAAACGAAGAGCATACAGTAAGGGGCAGAGGGAGCAAGAGAGCAATAATTTTTTGATAATAACCGTCCGGGGGCTTGCTACGGAATCCCGAAAAACATGTGAAAGTGAAGTGGGCAACACCGGTAGTGGGGTTTGGAGTGGGAATTTGTAGTTTGTCGCCGGCTTCAGGTATGGTAATTTAATAGATACTGTGTAATTCGGCAACAAACCACGTTTTCCACAAATTTTCATCAGAGGTATGGGAAGGTTAACATACAGCCGGCCCGCCGACGGAGGGCAACGTGACGATATAGACTTGAGTTTTTCCGGCGATCAACGTCTGCACGTACTCCAGCGTACGGCCCTTCACCAGCTCGTCGTCGACGTAGAGAATTTCGTCGCCAACGGAGAGTACAGGTGACAAGGATGGGATCGAGACGCGCGAGATGAAGATACCTGAAAATGGATGATAGATAGCGTACGAAGGTATCGAAAGATCGGAAGCATCGGTTATCACGATTTATTGTACATTTAATGTACCTCGTTGGCCATTTAGCATTCCCGTGGCGATGTAAAAGCCAAATGGCCCGGGCTGGAGCTTCTGCACGATGACACTTCGGAAGCCGCGCTGATCCAAGGCGATCAGTTGTGCTCGAACGGCTTGTTCAACGCCGCCTCTGAAAAACAGCATTAATTGGAGGCCGAGAATTCAACGAAACCACATCCCTGGAGGTAATGCTCACCCAAAATCATAGTCCGTATATGGCAGTTGCTCGGGAGAATCCTCATATCGACCCACACTAGCAGATCGACGACCGTTCATCCCCATCCGGCGGCACCTTCTGAAAAGCGACATTCGGTGGCGAATGGAATGACGCTAGCTAAGGATTTGCCAGGAGGAGGAGCTGGGGAAGAGCCAGAGTGGTGCATCCATGTGGTTTATTAGCTCCAATTTTTGGGCTCTGGCGCTCCGATCACTGAGAAACGGAAAGGAAATCCATAGAAAAAGCTAGAGAACGAGATTTTTGGGCTTTGAGGAGCCCGGATACGCGAAAGGAAGTTCGGGAGTCTCAACTTTTTATGCGCATTCTCGCTTAATAGGAAGAATTGGAAGTCGAAACCGAAATCAAAAGTAACCTCTGTCTCGAATACGCTGGCTGCCTCCCAACCGGATCAAGCATCTCCGAATCCGACCCGAACTGTTGGTTGACGACTCCAGGAGGTGGAGCTGGTAACCTCCTCCTCCCCGCCAGATCGGTCTCCATCTCGAACTGCGTGTTGATGTGCAGATTATCGAGGCTGCCGGCCATTTGTTCGGCTGGGGTCAGACGGTTGAACTGAAATGGCGAATTATTTCACTTTGCCTGTTTGAAGGCGCTTTGGTACTTGAACTTAACGTTTAAAATGAATGTATAGGTACCTGCTGTAGATCATACACACGCGCCGGCGTTGGTATAAATTCATTCATCGCCTCGTAGTCGTACAAATGGGTCCCGCGTGGAAGGGAAGCCGACCGATTTCGGAACTGTCGATTCAACGTATTCTCGACAGAATGCCGAATCACCGAGTCGCGTAGGGACTCTCTGAAATAAGGGGGCTGGTTATTGAATTTAGCTCTTTCTGGCTCCGTGGAGGTCCAGAGGGTCCCTTTTACACCCTCCTGTACCTCGAAATTTCCCCAAAATTCGACCTCGGCTGGCTGAGCTGGGAGCTGATCTTGGTGCCGAGGACCGGGCTGTTGTAGCTGCTCCCGGATGTTTGGCTGACTGGGATTGGTGGTGACGGGCCGACGGAATTCGATTGAGCAAGTGATGGTCGACCTAGAATATGGAGAATTATTGAGTTCTATAGACAAGTCCTGAAAAAAAAAAGAATTTTACGCTGTTTTGGCCAGACTACTCGCAAAATTTTGCTACGCTTGACTGAATTTTGTTTTGCGGCAATGGTGAAAATATGGCGCATATTGCCGTACCAAGCCAAAATTCAGCAGATCATACAACTTCTAATGACTGCCATTAGTGCGCTTACCGTGCAGCGGACTCGCCGAGTTCGGTCGCCGATCCCACTGATTTTGAAGTTGTTTTAATCTGGAAAAATTAAGGGTAATTATCGTAATTTTCATACCTTTGCATAGCAATTGAATAAGACGGAGGCTCTGGCAGCCCCTCTACGTCCTCTATAGAATATGAAGCGTGCTGAAGTTTTCTCATAGTTGGCGGCGGGGCGCGGGCTGCAAAAAAAACCGTTTAAAGGTATAGCAACATCCGTAAGAGCGTTTAATAATGGCTACCTAAAACCTGAAAAACTACGTGAAAAATCTCAAACCCTACCACTTCGATATACCCCGTAATGTGCCATTTTTAGCAAAAAATATAGCAGAGCCACACGAATTATCAGCTAGCTTTTCATTGTCAGAATACACATAGCAGCCCAATAAGTTTGAATAAATATCTTCCGGAGCGGTTTTTTGAGCCTAGACGCCAGGAGCAAGATTGCGGAATCTGATACGCCTTGGGACCCGAAGGCAGGCTTCTCCACCTCTGCTGGGCGAAGGCCAGGAATGGGGCACGAGTATGGGCCGGCTAGCCAAAGAGGTACGGCGGCAAAAATGGGGGCTCCCCGGTTGACCGGTAATGGCCTCCGGGTGGGTATGGAAGGAAAAGAGAGAGGCCAAGGGAATAAGGAATGACCCCGCTGGATATTAGCCCCAAGGTGGAACGGGGTTAGTATCGTTATGGAAAACTGATAAGGAGGTGGGGATCGAAAAGCTTTCGCACTATACAGATGGCTAACTTAAAAACCGTGAAATTAGCTTATAACCGTAAACCCCCCTCAAAATGACCATTGGCAGCAAGCAAAAAAATTCAGATTATTAATGAGAATGCTTACACACTGTCGGCGGCTGTAATTTGCATAATTCCGTAATATCACTAAATTTCCCAAAAAAAAATGGTTTCGGCGCCAGCGAAAAAAAATCTAGAGTTGAAAGACTATAAAATTATGTAAATTCCGAAATTTGTATAATGTCCATTTTATAATTAGCAATGGCACTATTTTTCTAAAAAAAACGACTGTCAATACTAGTTAAAGTATCATAGACTTTAAACAACATCTAAGGCGCCGAAACTGGGCCGTTTTGCGCAGGATGTTGCATATCATAATTTGTATCGCTCCGTCATAGAGCCTGCCCCGCGAAAAATCGGGATGCAGTAGCAAGGAAAATTAGGTAAAACTCTCAGTGGTAATTTATCTTAAACCGAAAATTTTTGATTTTCATAATTTTTGTGCTATCGTAGTCCCATAAACACGTACCATTCTCATAAGATCTCGCTGTGTGCCCGTTGGTCGTCGCCTTGCCGTTAATGTTCGAATCGAAATTCCTATTCGGTGATCCGTAGCCGTTCTGCTGATGTTGATGTTGATGGGTCGGGGCCACCTGGGCCGGGATTGCCGTCGCGTTGGCCAGCCCCGATGAGGTGCTTTGCGGGTAGTAGGTGACGCAGGCTGAAAAACGCTTATATTAAAGCTTAGCTTTTAAGGTTTCTATTATAGCCTTAAAAGCCTCTGTCATAATTTTCTCAAAAAAACTAGATTTCTTGGGACCCATTTCTCTACGATTTTCCAACATCTCCTGCCCATCTTTCTTTCAAAACCGGGTCATACATCGCCAGGGCGTAATTTTGTCGGTCTGGCGACAAGTGGTGAGCAATTTCCGGGGCCGCCGCGGCTTTTCCGATGAACCGGCTGCCGGGCCTCGTTTTTGCATCATGAAGAACATCTCCTGGGATCGGGGAGGGATATCGAAGGGTTATACAGCGTGTAAATTGGAATGGAATGTCGGAATGGGACGAATTACGTGTAAAGAGGCGGATTAGAGTATGGAATACACCAAGAATTTACACCGTTACGTGTATAAGCAATCCCATGCTATCAGTTACCTTTTTCTTTCCGTTTTGTAGAATTTTTAGTAAATTTCACGCTGCTAAGCCATCCAAAATATTGGCGAAACCAATACGACACTAGCAAAGAGTGAGCCGAAAATGACAAGTCGCCGAAAAGTCGAAAAGTTGTTGATGCCAAAACGGGCCCCCGGGGGATTCCTGGTTTTGGACTGGACGAACCCCCCGGAATGGCACTTTTGAGGATTGGAACCTAATTTCCCGCCACACACCCCGGGAGAGCCACACCAACACCCAGCCCGGGGCCAATGGGTCGGATATTTCACGCGGTTTGGAGTGGAATTTTTGGGTTGAAGTTGGCCGCAAATTAATGCGATTAAAAAAGCATGTAAAAGCTGCTAAAAGGCGATGATTTCCTAAAAAATATCTACTCAAAAATACAGTCAAATGCAAATTTAGAAAACTTTTCGAAAAAATTTTAAATTAAATAATTGGATAGATCGGGAGAGATTGATACAAGATTTGAAAGGAACAAAAACGTAATAACCACCAAAAAAGTCGATTATAAACTTCAGCTAAACTTGTCTTTTGATCGTCCTAGACTTCCAAAGCTTCGAAAAATATAAAAATTGCACATTTCAGCATTAGCATGCCTCCAAAATCTCTAAAAATTGCCTACTATCCGCCCAATTAGCGCCTACGCTAGAGGGCAAATTCCCTGAGAAATTCCCAGGCCTCCAAAAATACCTCGCAGTGGGTGGTTGCGAATACCAAAAATAGCCTTATCCGGCCTGCGCGTTCACCGCCAAATTTGTCTAGTGTATTTTTTCAATTATTCAGTGGGGTGGGGGCTGTGACGAGCAAGAGGGTGGCTGATGGGAGACGGAGGTATCTGTAGAAATGGGCAAACAGGAACCACCCCAGGGTGGATTATTTTTTTATGGTCCGGAAAAGCGGTAACTGGGGGGATTAGCTGGGATGAGCTAGATGAAAAGGAAAAACTAATTGTGACTGGTGCAGCATTCAAAGAGTAATCTGAAAATGTACAGTTTTCAATTTGAGAGTATCTTAAATAATAAAAGACTAAAATAACTAATTCACTAAATTCTATCGGCTTGAATTCTTCACAAAAATGAACGTATAAATTTCAACTTTTGAAAAATGATTAACCGAGTCTAAACAAAACTGTTTTGCGTTGCGGAAGATCACAAAAACTGATTTTTTAGCGTTTTTGGGAGCTACAGTAAATCTAAACAAAAAATTCCAACACCCAGGTGCTAACGGATTATTTTCCCTCCCAACGACGCACCGGAACACCGATCTCCTATCTATTTACAATTTACGGATTAGCACCGCCCTGGCAAATCTATGGAATGTGCGTCTCGTGAAAATCCACCCCTTTTCTACAATCCCACCACCACCCTCAATATTGCGTAGGTCAGGAAAAAAGGAGAAATGTCGGTGTGATATTTTCTCTGGGTTTGAAGGAGTGGGTGTGAGCAGCAGATTATCTGGATCAAAAAATGGCAAAGGCGTAACCATTACTTTGTCACCATCACAAAATGGTAAGGCGCGGAGGTGGACGAAATCGAAAACAAAAATTATTCAGAGATGCCTGGTAATCAAAGGGATGTAGCAAATGAGGGATTCATCGCTTAGAAAATGTGCCACTTTAAAAAAATAATTGTTTTAAGGTTTTTTGGAAAAAAAAAATTTTTTAAAAAGGGTTGTGGGTGAAATAAAAATATTAAAATAAAAAGAGGAGGGAAAAAAAAAAAAAAAAAAAAAAAAAAAAAAAAAAAAAAGAAAAAAAAAAAAAAGAAAAAAAAAAAAAAAAAAAAAAAAATAATAATTTAATATTTTAAAAAAAAAAATTAAAATTCATGGTGAGATCTTTGTGATGAAGCCATTTGTGGAAAGACAAGTTAATAGCCCCCTATGGCTTCCGGCTTAACTTTACCGGCTTCCAATAACGAACGGATTTACTGAAGCATTATTCACGGCTATAAACTACAAAAATCAGTTCACGAAAATATGGCTAAACCGCTAGCGTAGCGGCAAAAAAACGCGCACATATTTCTATCATCAATGCGTCATGGACCATTTTTCAAAGCGCACCTAGAATTAAATGGTCAAAGCCACCCAAATCCCTAAAACCAAAAATTCCCAGCCACCGCCCGCCCTTGGGTCCCATCAATTTAGAGCAGAGCCCCCAAGCCCAACCCCCCTGCGCAATGGTGGCTACAAAATTGCGCGAATCGCCCCGGGCAAAAAGCCGTTGGTTGTGGCCCCCGTCGAGCCGTCGACGGCCCAAATGGGGTGTGTGTGCGGGTCCCGCAGCGCTGCCCCGGAAGCCTATAATGCGATCGGTGGTTTTATCCCTTTTTTAGAGGGGGGGGGGTGGAACGAGACACATGCGGGTCTCCGGCTCGGGCCCCTAAAGACAACCGAATAGACATCGACTGCTGCTCTTCCCTTCGGATGGGACCGTGACCCTCATCCATCCCTTCTCGAAAAACACATTGCTCGAAATGAGCTCACATGGCGCTAGGCAGAGGGTGAGGAGGGGGTAATGGAATGAGAATTGGGATGGATGCCTTTTTAGGGGAATGTTGCGAAGGGAGATACGTTGGAAAAAAGGCAAAACTGACAAACCCTGATGCGTAAAAAATTGTTAGGTTCCGTATGTCAAGCAATGTTAGAGATTCTATGCGATCCCTCGCGATGTTACGCGATGATAGGCGATCCTATACGCCGCGGCGCAACGCACCGTTGCCCTAGGCTACGATACATTCCAGCGAAGCTACGATATACACATACGCTACGCTATGCCATTCAGCTATAAAGCACCATTTGGTTTCCTTTGCAATTCAAGTTACGCTTTTAGGAGGCTTGCTCCAAAAATAGCTAAAAATTTCGCACTTTTTAACTCTAGAAAATGGCCACCTAGCAGAAACAATTGGAGGTATCGCCGCATTTTTGCCAAGCACAAAACAATAAAACTAATGCGACCGGGATGAAAATTAAAAAACGCGCGAAAACTGACATCATACAGCCTATTTAAATTCCCCAATCCCCAAGCCATCGCCTCCCCCCAAAAAACCTAGCCGTCACCCCGTGGGGAATATTTGCATTCACGCAACACGCAATTTATGGCCATCAAAATGAGAGGGTTTTGGTCATAAGTCCTAATGTCAGAAAGCAAAGAATCCACTGCCTTCCATTTCCGACTAGTGAACTTCAAAATTCCTGAATCAATCAAGAAGATCGAGAAGCTGTTCCCCCAAGTTCCCATAGGCGATTCGATTGTGGTCTAGCTGATGAATGAATGGGACCTCATTATTCCGGGAAAACGCCTCGCCCGGAAACCTTTATAATTACGCGGTGTCTAATGGGGGTTACCCCGGGTTGAGGCTTTTCAAAAATGTTGCCTGGAATTGCCCGTGGCGAAAGTTAGCAATATTGGAGCCCGTGAAAATTGTCTGAGAGGTTTCGGGGTGTACCAGACAAAGGCACGCGACCGGAAACCAATGAAATGGAGCTTCGGAGTAATTTTTTGGGGAAGCTGGTCCGCGTGTGCACTTCATGGGTTGTATCATAAAAACGTTGCATTGTCCGTAAAGTAAGTAGTTTCGAATACATAGCAACATTTTTAATGTGGCACAAAATGTTGCCAAAAGTTGTAGAAGCCAGGAGCTATGGCACAATATACTAAAATCAAGCGTAATGTCGAGTTAAACTTATAAAAAAGAGTGAAATCCTCTGAGAGGCCGAGGCATTTTTTAAATCTCATAAACTTAAGGATTACCTTCAAAATTGGCAAGAAAATTTTTGAAACTCGATTGCTATGGATATGTTTTGCATACCACGTGTGGTTACGTTATGCTTGTTACGTAAGTACTGTACGGTAGTTTCGAACTTACTAAATGCGCAATTAAAATCTGTTAGAAATCAATTTTTTTCCTAAAACGTTTGTCTTGAAACATCGGCAAAACGTAAGTTAGATTTTTGCGTAATAACGCGAATTATGCAGTCAATAAATGGCTGCTCAATCAATTCCTGGCATCCACACGCAAAAAGCCTAATCGCGAAAAGTTAGCCGCCATCTCCCAGGCTAAACTTCGGCCGGCTCGATTTCAGAAATGCATTGACGGGCGGGTGTCCAATTTCGGTTGTGGTGCCAAATGAATGTCTCTAACGTCCAAAGACGTCGCATGGACCTGGTCACCCAAAATGCAATGGGGATGCGTGGGCCTAGGGAATTTGTGGGGCTGTCGAGAAAAAGCGACTAACACGCTGGGGAATTAGGCTGGAAGTGAGCCACCAGGAAAACAAGAAACGCTGGAATACTTTGAGTTAAAGTAAAGTATGTTTTTAAGTTCGGTAAATGTGCCTTTTCATGCCCGGAGTCCTAAAAGAAGCTCAACACTTCCTGGTGCCCTTCGCCTTAAAATTGCAAAGCCCATCTGGGAACCTCAGTGCCCTGGATGATTTTTTTGGGTGCCTCCGCCATGTTTTCGATTTGTTTTTATAGTTTGAAGCCTAGAAAAAGATAGAGAAACTGACATTGTATCTTCGGGGAGCTGTTCGAGTCAGAAGATCCGCTGGACGTGCACGCGAGTCCGTCACCAACCTGAAAAAAAATTCGATAACTATTTTTCCGGCCCTCAGACACCACGTTTCGACCTTAGTTTGCTTTTCTACACCTTTGATGCTTTTAATAGATGTGACTATTTAAACGCGGAATAAAAAATTAGGTTATCCCAGCGACTTTTAGGGCTCCGAATGACCTTCAGCCCACCCGAACCAACCCCACCTTTACACAATGTCAAAAAATGGCCACCCTTCGGCGAAAGGGAACGAATTTTCGGATTTACATCGGGTCTTTTTGGGTCAATCCCCCCCTACTTTTGTACTGAATTTTCGGAGGACCGACGCAACCACCCACCCCCCTCCCAGCCTACCGATATATCGGCTTTTATTTGGTCGCGGAAAAACGCGCACACGCCTGCTCTAGCCCCAGTCCAAATATATTGCGCATTTTGTTGCCGTCAAAAAGCCGGGATGACGAATTTTGGGATATTCACTGAGCTATTAGTGGCTGGAAGTTGCTTTGTTTTGTTCAGGGATTCGACGGCACAACCTTATCCTGATTTTAATACACCAATGGCAGGGCGAAATTTGGAGGTAGGTCTCTCAAACAGGCTTTACTTTTTTTGACCATATAGAGCTTTTTAATAAAATTTTCCAAGAATCAGACCAATTCCAAAAATCCGTGTTTCATTTCCAAACCATATATTTTTGAGCAAGATTTTTTCACTACTTGTCTAAAAAGGCCGTGTTGAGGCTTCCAATCCTAATGATTACCGTATTAATATCTTAAAAAATTTAGTTAGAAGCCCGCATGCGTCAACAACTCGAAGCTGCAATAATGGCCCGAGGTGGTGGCCAGTCCGGCATGCTAAATATCCCTAATATGGCTGCCATCCAAACTATGCAAAATATTCCTGGTATACCTAATCGCCAGATGGGAGCGGGACTATCAGGTATCTTTTTGTAGATCTCGATATCTTGTCTTGCAAAATTCTGTACGATCCAAAATAACTGAGTTTCAACCCCGGGCCAACCCCTGACCCGAATTTCGGCGCGGAACCGGTTGGCTCGAAGGGCTGGGTTCAAAACTGGGGTTGGCTAGCTAACCGGTTTTGGACGGCCTAGTGATGAATTTGAAATATTTCTGATTACTTTGATTTCAAATCTAACACAAAAACAAAAAATATGCGTGAAAATGCTAAATTTAATAATTTGTTGAATTTCGTAATTTAAAAATTCATTTTAAAGTTTTTAATAATTTTTAAATTTTTATGAAGTATAAAAAAATTTCTAATGTATTTATTTCAGAAACAGACGCCCAATTCCTCTACCTAATGACACAATCCCCGGAAGCGATGTTACATTCCCAAATGGCCTCTGCCAGCAACCCGGCCCTCCAAAACTACCAAAACATACGCCCGATCATCCCGATGAATCAACAATTCCCACAGATCTCCCAAATCCCGCCATATATGATGAATTCCGGAGGCTATGGCCAGCTTGGAAACTACCCATATATGCCAAATATGGGGTATTTACCGCCCTATGCCTATCAAATGATGCAGCAGCAGTATGGTGCCGCAAATTCAATATACCCATTTGCCGCAATGTACCCGAGGGGCGGTTTTCCGATTAAATAAATGTATCTACGCTTCTGATCCTTTGATGAACTGCACGAAAAACTTGCCTGATCGGCGAATCTGACCCTGAACTGCTTGGCAACCCTCGCCGCCGACGCCGAGCCATTCTGGAGTGGCGCGACTGCCGGAGCGCCTAAAAAAAATTCAGATTTTTAAGGAATTTAAATAATGGATCGGTTTTCCATGTGTTACTGTATCTATTTAAGTTGTGTAATATTCTGAAAAACCAGATCATTTAACCGAACACATGCCATTTTGGAAATGTAGATATTAAAAATCGCCTACTGAGTAATATATAAAATGTCGTTGATTGAATCAATAATTTGCGAGCGTTTCAAACCACAACCACCACAAATTCGGTTATTTCAGTATCCTTATACGTTTTTAAAGGTCTTGAATTTTGTAGTTTTTCAGCAGCTGTTAAAATTGGCGATTTAAAAGCAAAAATGTCTATTGATCGATTAAGGTAAATTAACAAACCGCAATTTCTTAGCTCCGCTAAATAAAAAATTTTGAAGAGCCGAAGAATCGATAAAATGTAAGACCTTTAATCCTCAGGAACCCATCATTCAATTGTTCCCACATTTCTTGTACACTCCTCCCCAAAAATCACCTGTGGGGCGTTGCGGCAGGCGTCTGGGCGATGCGGAAATGTTTACGCCGTCGAGTAAGCGCCTGGAAAAAATAGGTATAAATTCGTAGTCTGGCTGACTTGATAGCCATCCATGGCGCTCAAATTAAATCGCTTCCCCCATTTTTGCCAGGGCGATCAAAAAGCCAAACGGCAACAATTCGGGCGATTGGATTTGGGCGCTGATTATCAGATTTGGCAACGAGGTGGCAGAGGCAAAGCCCAGGGGTGGCAAAGAATTTGCAGTTTTCCATTGGGTTTCAAGCAGCCTCGTATAATTATTTGGGGAAATAGAAAAAAACGGAATTCAAGTCAGATTTTATGTTTCAAATCTTAGAATTTTTGAGGAATGATTTGAAAAGGATTGAAAAAACCTAAATAAATTGAGCTTTTCGAATCGAAATCTTCCTATTGTTTTGTCAATCTTTAGCTGGTTGGTCGAAGTTCTAGCTTTCCAAATCTACATAAAAACAAACTGCAAAATACCCTTTCTAACAAAATTTGAAAATTTGAAGTAAGTTCATTGTTTCATTTTTTTCACTCGATTCTGACTAATTCTCGCCTTTCCAAAATAACCCCAGCTTCTTTATGCAAAAAATGTCTAAATTGCGAAGATCATCCATCGGAGCCTTAAAAATTCACTGAAATTCCAGGTGGGAAAAAATCCCTGACGGACGTAGATCTGTAAAAAAACTACAGCTAGTTTAAACCTTAAAATGAAAGCAAAAACCCAAAAACCCCAAAAAAACGCAAAAATTCTCGGTCCCGCCGCGAGCCAACCCCTCTAGCGGGCGCATATCACCAGGCTACATCTTAAAGGCTCAAAAATGGGGTCCGATTTTTCATGGCTGAAGACGTCCCAAGGAGCGCCCAGGGGGGAAGGATAGAGATGGGGGAAAGAAGGCTTTTGCCCCCGATTTACGTGGGAACAACAAGGGCTGTTAGTAGCCCGAGAACCCCCCTGCGCGTTCCGCTTTCCGAGCGTCGGGAGAACGCCTGAATTGACCCCCAATTTCGGCGGGAGGGGAAGGCTTTTTAGCGCCCTTTTTTGCAGACGGGTTCGTGCTAAATGCTCACGCAAGTGTGGAAGTTGCCTAGGTGGGGAGTTGAACTTTTTGGCAACGTCAGAATTGGCCACGTATTGTACGCTAAGGATCACAAAGCGCAAGGATTTTTATAAAAATCGTATCTAAAGTTTCGCTAATTAAGCTCCATTCAATAGTTATATATGAAACTAGTATAAGAATCCAAACCTCAAGCTAGATTTTAAATCTGAATTTTGCTTAGATAGATGAGAGAGATTTATGCACGTTAAATTTTATCAAAACCGAGTTAGTTTGAGTAAAATTTGAGTTTGAAATTCGTCTAGCTTCTAGCTAAACTTTTGCAAGAAAAATTGATACAAAAATGCAAATCTTAAAAGAGAAAGACATTAATCAAACATCAAAAAACACAAATCTTAGGCTGCAACTATCACATTCTGTCAAGACTTCCGTTTTAGGTTAGTTGAAGCTTAAAGAGATAAAATAAAACTAAACCATTAAAATTTAGTGCAAAATTGACTACACGGCAGTTGTGCTTAATTCCAAAATACACCAGCCAACACACGCCGTTTCAAATTAACATAAGTGCACGCAAAAGGTAAGCTGATCTCTGAAAATCCACGCCGCACTGCTAGACGAGCCAATAGTTTTTGCTGGCCAAAAGGCCGGAGGAGTAACCACGAGGCCCAACCCACCGGCTCAAATATCAATTTTTAGGGCCCTGCCAACACTCTTCCGGCACGCGCAGCAGCACCTCTCCCTTCCCTCAACATAACAAGCAATTAGCCGCCCCGGGATTCATTCAATGGGAAGAGGTGAGGAAGAGGAGATGAACAAGGAGTGCCAAATGACGGGCTTTCAGGGGTGCTTGTAGTTGCTATCTTTTTTGGTTGATATTACTTTCTAACTAGTGGTTTAGAAACCATGATTTTCAAAGTTCGGGGTATAAAGTGATTTATTGCGTTTTCGTGACCTGAAACAGAATTAAGGAAAAAGGATAATTTGCATAAATTCAATGTGACTGGGTGTCTCTAAAGCTTAAACAAACCGCTGATTTTTTTTGCTATACTTTTATTGTTTTGCGATTTTCTGATGAGGGAATAAGATTCGGGTGTTTTTGATGAAGCATGGCACCTTACTGATACTGTTTATATCGTGTACCATTTAGAAATCGACAAATTCAACGAACCTGGCACTGTTTGGCGTCAAATAATCCCGATTGTCGAGCTCACGCGACAGCGAGTTTTGCGGCGCAAAGTGCCGTGGGAGGGTCGAGCCCGGGAATCCTGAAAAAAAATCAAAATTTTGTAGGCGCCAGGGATCGGGATGTTGCGATAGTGGTATCGTAACTGGCCGAAACTTTTTCGAAATTTTGACCTGGCGCGAAAATCCAGAAAATTTACTCTTTATTTGCAAATTTGGTTTTATGTTTTGGGAGAACAGGATTGGATTTAGGACTTGGAAAACCTGGGGGGCTTGAATTTTGGGCTGCATGTTTGTAGTCAATTACAAAGGCTCGGAGGCTGGGGGGTGGGGAGGGGTTTTTTCAAATAGCACAGAAAATTTATGGCGGGTTGCCAAGGCAGGAGAGGTTTGCCATGGTATGTGGTTGCTTATTCTGGGGAGTGGGTCATCAAATCTTGGATGAAGTTTGGTGGCAATGTCTCCATCTCTCTCTCCCTCTCTCCCTCTCTCCCTCTCTCCCTCTCTCTATCTCTCACTCTCTCCCTCTCTCGTTCTCTCTCTGGCTCTCAAAACCCTACCGTTCTGGGGCTGATGATGCCTGGGGCTGCTCTGGTCCGAGTCGGCACATATGCCAGAGTCCGTGTCAGAGTCCTGTGGTGGCGGGAGTACGTCGGTGCCTGGAAAAAGTGAATTAATACGCTATATACCTTGCGAAACAAAGCGATTTTAGCTCTTGTAAGCTTAGCAAGAAAATACACGGTCAAATAGGTTGGGGCCTTTGGTTTGTGCCCAGAGGCCTGGCACCGGCCCCCGGACGAACAATGGCCACACCGGCCGGGGATGCGGAGTCGGAAAATATGCATGAGGAGAAATCGGCGGGGAGACCCCTCAAAAAAAAAGAGGAGGACGCCTTCTCCGGGGGATGATGCAGGGAGGTGGAATGATTCTCGGAGGGCCTTGATTCGCTTTTGTCAGGGCCGAGATTCCGATAAACAGAAAGAAACAAATGGTTGGATGGCACATGATTTTTAATTTATGAACTTGTGGATTTGATGAAATTGCGGCGCAAAACAGGGATGATTTATCGGGGAATTCAAGGTTTGCAAGGCGTAATTAGAGAAATGGTCGCTAGGGGCCACCTAAATTGCCATGAAAAAAACCACACCTAAACCTCCAAAAGATCTAGGCAACCAAAATTTTTCGCATAAGGGTCTCGAGTGCAAAAAATGTGATAACACAGGAATCACGACGTCACCAACCAGTTCGATATTTTAGAAGAGGAAACGAATGAGCAGAACTTTGCTGTGGGAGTCCCTAATAGGGGCGGGGCGAAAATGTTGGGTTTTGCAAACAAATAGAGCGGTTGAAAATGTGCTATAATTTATAGCAATAGATTCTGGTGGCAGGTAATTTTCGACAAAAAGGTTAATGGCTGGCTTGCCGGGTCAAGGCAGAAATCATTAGTTTTCGAGCTTACTGAACAATTCTGGTGTAAATCCAACTGTTAGCGCGACACAAGAAGTACAAAATAAGGTGCCACAAACCAAAATCAATTTTTTTTTGCTGAAAATGATGATCTACGTTTTAGAACAAAGTGGCCTGGTGAACCTTTCCAAACCCGGGTGGTCAAGCCTCTGCCGCGTCGGGGAGATTCTAGAAAATGGCCGAAATGCGAAACTAATCCCGCAGTCAGAACTCCGTCATGGCCGTCCGGGGCGGCGGGCTGTGCTTTTGGCAGATTTTTTTGAATCAGGCCCAGGAGACACAGAAAAGGGCTAGGCTTTTCCGGACGGGGGACGTCGTCGTCCGCTACCCACCCGAACTTCCGCTGGTTGATCCCAAAATTAGGGACGTGTCGGGGCGTTCTGCAGCAGCCGTCCGGGAACGTTATGTCACAGAACATGGTCTTTGTGCTCCAGGACAAGTTGTAGCATGGAAGGATTGGACTTAAGCTTGGGTTTGGGCTTAGACTTCTCTTAGGCTTACAAGGAGATGGTCTCTGCTCGGAATCGAATTCGGATTTGAAAATTTGCACACTTATAGAGCTCGACGAGACAAATCGATTGGTGTAACTTTCAGCTGCTGATACAATAACCACGCCGAGTTATAAGCGGCCATAGCTTCATAGGCCATAGCTT